TCCCCATCCCACCCACCCCTCCAAGAATCCTCCTCATCCTCTCTCTCTACCCTTCTAAACCCAAACCATATACCCTCTCCATAAGTCCCTCCCCCATCTTCTCCCCCTACCCTCCCAAATCCCAAACTACAGATCACTCTAAAAGTCCCTTCCCACTATTCCTGAAGTATCAAAAGTTAACCTAGTAACTGGGTGGATATTTCCAGCACTTCTATAACAACGCTGTCGGCACTTTATTTTCAGACTCACTGGCCTGTAGTCTGAATCTTGATCTGATGGATGACTCTGGCTAGCTAGTTACCTATAGCCTCATCAGTCTCTATAGAGAGTCTTCATTCCCTTAAGACCTCTACAACTGGAAAATTTGGCTGGGTTTCTTTTCTTGAAATTGGGACATCCTAGAAAAATCTGAGACATATGATCGCCATAGTTATTGGAAAGTAGAGATCAAGAAAAGCAATTTGGGGGTCATCTTTTAGGTGACTCAAAACCATGGTATATGAGAATTGAAGAAACTAGGGATATTTAGTTAGAAAAACAGTTGATTTAAAAGAGGGAAGAGTGTATAAATGAAATATTAATAATGATAGCTAGTATTTATTTGGTGCTTTTAAGATTTCCAAAGCACTTTACAAATATCTCATTTGATCCTCACAATTTTGTGAGGTGAGTGCTATTACTATCCCCCTTTTATAGATAAGAGAATGGAGGCAGACTGAGGTTAAGTGACTTTCCTAGGATCACATCTGAGGCTGCATTTGAACTTATAATTTCCTAACCCTATGTCCAGCACTCAATATACTATGCCACCTAGCTGTTTCAGATGTCTGAAGTCTAGTTATATGGAAAAGGGATTATTTTTCTTGGCCTTAAAGGGACCAGAAAGGGAGACAGATTTTAGTTCAATATAAAATATTTCCTAACAATTAAAGTCATCAAAAACATAGTAGGTAGTGATTTTCCTGTTGCTATAGGTGTACAAATGAAGTCTGTATATCTGCTTATGATGCTTTATTATTATGTATATATGCTTTTGATCAAACTAGCATTCCAAAGAGGAGATTTTTGGTCTAGGTATGGGTTAGATTAGATGGTGCTTTAAGATGCCTTCTAACTTTGAGATTCCATGATTTTGTGGAATGATTTCCCTTCTCCAGTCTGTGGTTTTGGCCAATTATATTCACCATAACATAAGATAATATTTTTTAGAACTGGAAGAAGAGATGTTGAAGACCCAGGTCCTAATCTAAGAAAATACTTATTTGGGAAGCAGGTTTTGACCATCAGATAAAACATAATCATGGGGAAAACTGGTCATTCTTTATTTTGGATTTAATCTTTTCCTATTAAGATCACTTGAATATTTTGTTTTTATTTTTATTTTCTGCCTTATTTCCCAACTGGAAACAGAAAAGCAGCAACAACTTGAACAAGATAGAGTTGGTTACCTAACAGGATGTAGCTGGTTTTAACAGGTCTTAACCACACCCTTGTGATACTTCAGTGAACCACACCCATGACAAAGAAGGCATTAAAGAAATTATAGGGATAAACTAACTCTGCAATTAAGGACAGTCTGAGGCAAGATTGCACAACTGAAGCTGAGCTCTGATGGTACTACCCCTGGGTTAATTCTGAAAAAAAAAATATTCTAAATATAATTCAGATTTATTAGATAAATGATCAAGATTAGGTAAGCTGAATTTGCCAAATAATGGGGGTAGTCTTCCCTCTTGGTATTGAAGATATGGTCAATTAAATGATTAGTAAACAAAATAAATCAAATTATCACTGTGTTTTAATTGAAAATGGCAAAATTAGACTTCATTAGACCACTCTGTACAAAGTAATTTATATAGAGCTTTAATGTTTCCACAGCATTTTACAAATATTATCTCATTTGATTCTAATAACAACCCTAGGGGTTATTACGATCATCCCCATTTTACAGAAGAGGAAACTGAGGCTGAGAGAATTTAAGTGACTAGCCTAGAGTCACCCAGCTACTAAGTGGTTGAGGCCAGGCCAGGCCCATGTTATAAAAGAAGTATATAAACATTCAGAGATAAAGATACAAATGAACTTTGAAAAAAAAAAAAAACATCATCTATAGGCAGACTGGATCGGAATGGGGTAAAGGTTCAAATATTTAATATACCAGTGCTTATAGACTTTCTATACTTGATACTGGCCTATACAGTGACTCCATTTTCTATTGTTTTCATTATAAATTGTTTAAATGGGAATCAAATATAAGCTAAAACTTCATAGTGATTGTTACTCTTCTCATACACTACTGGCAAACAAATTTATTTATTATTTTTAAAATCTTGTAACTTTTATAGCTATGAATAAGCCACCTTTTTAGCAGTAGACCAAGAATGAATGCCTGCCTTTAGATTTTTCCTAAAAGTCAAGCAATGAACTGTTTTCAGTAAAATCTTTTTGTTTTATTTGAACCATTTTATGGCTCAATGATTCCTTGACACGTATATTATAGAAAGGGCTCTTGTTTTTGTATGCTCAATGCCTGGAACAAGGCTTTGCATAGAGTATATGTTTCAAAAATTCTAATTGAATGATTGAATTTAGATATGATTTCCTTATTCAGCTGAGATTCTGTGAGGATTTTCACCAAAGGATGAAATCTGCTTTAGGAAACAGTGGGATTAATTAAATATATATCACTTAAAAAACACTTAGTTGCCTTCTATCATGATAAAACATGCTTTCTGAATAAAACACCTGAAACATTGCCTCCTTTTGTGAAAACTGGTTTTTGTTCAGGATTTACAAAGCATTCCTTTCCCCTAGTTGTAGTCAACTTATACACACATATTGACAAGGATCATGGCAAACTATTCATTTTACTGCTGTGTAAGTGTCTTACTTCATGTCAATACAGTTTTCAATTTAAGTCCCTAAAACATCCTTTAAGAGAATTTTTAAAAATCACCATATTCACTTAAACTATACTTGGCTTTCTACAATTTGCATAAGTCTTACACCTACTTAGTACTGCCTTCTCTTTACCCATGTCTTTTTTTTTTAACCATTCCCTACATCAGTGAGAAAATATACCTGTAGCCAACAGTCCCATGGCTTTCACAGATTTGTGTGGCTAACTGACAAAAAGTGATTAGAATATGTAAGACAGGATATGTCCAATTTTTATTTGTGTGTTTATGTCTGGACTTTAAATATATGGACTAGGCCATTTTCTTTCTTTTTTCCCCAAATTTAACAAACTATAACATTGGATTTTGCTTCCCTTTTAGTAGTTACTAAAAGTGTATTATCTATAGTAATAATCTAAAACTTTTCTAACCACCATAAATATATTTTCTTGAAGAATTAAAAAAAATTTAAGTTATACAAAGATACCTACACTTAGTGAACCGAAGGGATTAAAAACTTTGAAGGGTTAATGAGGAACTTGGTATTCAGTGAAACTCATTTATGATAATTACACTTAATTTTCATTCACTTCGATACTCCCACACAATTCTTCCCCATGAGTAAGAGATACTATGGGATATGAAGTAGGGTGAGGATGTCTCTTGCTGCAAATGTTTGTTCCCTTCCCATAGCCCTGAAACTGCTCTGTGTACAGATATCCCTTTGAACTCAGTGGAAGTTGTATTTAAGGAAAAAATCACATGTAATTAGTAACAATGAGTCTACATGCTTTAAATAGTATCATAAACTTTAAGATACCTTAACAAAATTAATTTGCACCAATACCTTTTTAGTGAAATTTTAGAAAATTCATTAATCATGAGACTGATTCTGTATTACCTCAAATTTTGACTAACTGTTCCAGAAAGACTTTATATTGTCAATGTTCATTTTTTAACCACACACATACATGCATATATACATACACACACACACACAGACACACACATGACAATACCAATAATTGCTCTGGAAACTGTGATTGTAGAGACCCAGAAATAACAATTTTTTAGGTCCATGGGTACCATGTAAGTCCTAATTTCCTGAATCAGTGCTCTTCAAAATGGATCCTACTGACCAGTAGTAGTCCATGCGGATCCTCCTAATGATTTGTGAGCTTGTCTCTTGAGAAAACCTGTAGCCTAGTTCAGGCATTGTGATTAACTTGCTAAGGAACCTTAAGTAGGTCATTTCACTTTTTAGAGCCTCAATTTTCTCATCGGTCAAAGAGGAGGGGTGTACTGAATGATTTCCAACCCTTCAGGTTCTTGGAGTTTAAGTAGATTTATGTTCTTGGATTTTGAATGTGTACCAGTAATTTAATTATGATATCCTCACTTTCACTTTTGTCTTTATCAAGAGTGCCTAGCATAATTCCTGCCACAAAGTAGGTACTTAATAAATGCTTATTGATTAATATTTCTCATTTTTCAAAATTACTTACCCACTCCCACTTTCATACTTGGCTGCTTCATTGCTAATGTCATTTTTCAAAGTGGTAATAAGACAGGTGAGACAGGTTGAGATAGGATCAAGGGTTGTTGTACTAAAGCACAGCCTAAACAAGTTTGTGCATTCTGTAACACAGTTTTGCCAATGGATAAGTAATTATTTATGTTTATAAATTATTCCATAATATTGATTTTATTATTTTGACATTTGGTGTTCCTCCCCTGGCATAGCCTATTATTTTAAGGTAGACTAGAATAGTTTTCTGAAAGGCTGTGAATATACCCCTGAAAGTATACAACTTCCTTGTAGGAAGAAAATTCTTCCCTAAGGAAAAAAAGAAACACAAATAACATTAAAATTAAAACAAATTAGTAGTATGTAACCTCCCAATTTAAAAGAATCATTGACTATGTTTTGCCTTTTGAACAATATGCAACCACTGTCATTGATGTTATAATGGGGCTTGTATCTGTGAAAAGCTGTAAGTAATCTGAAATTGTAATTCTTATTGATTAAGAGAATTGATGCCTACATATACCAAAACCACATCATGTTAATATATGTATAGGAAATAAAAGCTACAAAGAAAAGCAGAAAAAAAAGTAAATTTATTGCAAAATACAGTTCTTTCTCACCCTACCACTGGCTATTTGTTCCATTAGAGATCTGTTTTTAAGGATTGAAACACTAAAAGTACAGAAAATAATTGTATTAACAATTGTAATAACAAGTATTAGCTTATGAATTTGTAGGACATTTTAAATTCTGCAACTTCTGTCATACACACATTATCATTTCAGTCATGGCATTGTCTTCAGAATCACATTAGTTTTAACACAGAATATAAATTGGTATTTCTGAGAGGTAAAAACTAATGATATCCAAGTGTTTTTTAAAACAGCGAAAATCATCTTAGAACTCCTTTGTCTCCCAGACTTCTGCAAAATTTTCCCCCTGAATTTTAACAATGGCTTCTCTTAGTTGAAGCAGAAATACATCTTCGAAACATAAAATTTTATGTTCACATACATGAAAGTAAATAAGCCGTAGTGGATAATGTGCTTGATTTGAAGTCAGGAAGACCTGAGTTCAACTCTGATTTCTGTCATTTATTGTCAGCAGAAGATATGTAACCTCTATGACCCTCCATGACAATGAGTTAAAGCTGAGCTGTGATCTGCCTTGGTGGAGGGAGCTCCCACCCCACCAAAATCATTGGTCTTTTATGCAATGATGTTTGGACACACACTTCCACTCTTGTTTCTTCCCTAAAACAGCTTTGAGAACAGTGTAGTATAGAAAATAAAGCTAGGAATAAATTAATGGTGCAGCAGTTACCTTTTTCTCTATATTCAGAAAACTTTCTCCACAAAACTGCATGCAAATAGCTTTTCATGTTGTTAATTAATCCTTATCACATTCCTACCAGTACTACCATCTTTCTTGGGAGTTACAGTGCAAATTAGGTACAGAAGTGCATTGGAAATGTCTTCAGTGTAACAAGTCAGTTTTAGTTGTGTCATTTATCATATCTCTTTTGCTCCAACACTTTTATTTTAAGGAACACACAGACTGGAAATTGCCACTGAGGAGAAAATGAGACAACAGAAACAAAAAGCCCAACCAGGCACCCTATTCACTAGCTAACCAATTAATTGACAAAGAGAAATCTTTTTTTCTAGACAGAAAACTATCTCCATGACATTTGCAATTTTTATCCATAGATATTTCAAGTCTAATAATACAATCTCTTAACAAATATTTGTTAAAAAATATCTCTGCTCTTTTCTGGACTGATGTATAATTGAGAAGTTTAAAACTAAAAAAAATCACTTGAATTATTTTATGTATATACATCAGTTTTATTTTTTTTCATTTCCTGAAAAAAACTTCAAAACTGGTTTTATTTTCATTTCTCTGACTGTAGTGAGGAAAATTCAATAATCCCAATGTTCTTTTCTTATCTTGTTTTGCATTTACACAATGCCTTGTAAACAGAGATATAATAAATTACCCATGCCATATTCTAATGACAAAAATTCAGAGTTTTGAACATATATATGAAGGAGAATTACACTTATTTCAGGCAAGCTCAGCTCTGTGGGATAAGATGCTTGAAGCGGACCTTTGATTGTAAAGCCAAAGAATCCACAAAGGAATATTGGCAATTACTAGGTAAGGGATAGGACCTGTGATTTCATTGGTATAAAGAACTCTCTGGAGAGGAAACTCCCTCCACTGTGCATCTATGTGTACCTTCTCTACAATATATAGTCTTTAGAGAGCTGCCTAGGGCACTGAGAAGGTAAGGATCTACCAGCCAGTATGTAACAGGGTGAAACTTGAATCCAGACCTTCCTGTTCCCAGGACAGCTCCAATATTTCTCTCTTCTTTCTTGGATATTAAAATTCTTACATTTCTATTAATTAAATGAGAGTGAAAGGACTCACTCATAATCAAACAAGCTTAAAATCTTATATTTCATTACCCTTGACAATCTATTCATTCCCCAGGTATCTCTATTCATAGAAAAGATACATAACGTACAAGATTGCATAAAATATTCCAAGTGGATCTCACTTGCTTGTTCTATATTAAAGCATAGGAAAGGAAGACAATGTGTTGTGTTAAGTGAAAAAATGGAATAATTGAAAACCTTTTAAAATGAAAACTGAGTCAAACCTTGATGGAATTTACCTTTTGTAATGAGGGAGAAAGATGAGGGAGAGACAGAGACAGAGAGATTTCTATATAGATATAGATAGATAGATATGAAGAGAGAGAGAGAGAGAGAGAGAGAATTCTGACAAAAAAATTGCAATTTACAATCCCTGTGAAAAACTCATAAAGAGTTATTTATAATTGTCAACTAGTATCATACGATGCAGAGTTGGAAAGGATCAACTCCAAATACTCGTTTTGCAAATGAGGAAACTGAGGCCCAGAGACGTTATTGCTTAGTAATACTACTATTAGCTCACACTTACTTGTTGCATTAGTATTTACAAAGCACTTTACAGACATTTGATTTCACTGACCTCCTAAAGATAGAATGGGCTAGTAAGTAACAATCAGGCTTTGAATCCAGTCATTTGACTCCAAATTGTGTTCTCTTTTCACAACACCCCACTGCCTCACACTTTATTTCTTTATGCATGTCTTTGCTAATGTTCTAAATTTGGGTTCCAGATGATCTAAAAACTCAAGTCCCTCTTCATCCTGCCGATCACTGCAACAGCCTACAGAGCCAGCTAGAGATCCTTTTCCTTCATAGTCATATGGAAGGACATAGTCTTTAGAATACTTATGCTCTTCATCCTGTCCACAGTGATACACCTTCTGTAGATGAAGAAAACACATTTTATTATTATTTCTTAAAAAACACCTAAACATATTCACATAAAAATAATTTCTTTGATTTACCTTTTATTGTTTAATTTTTAATCAGAGTGTGTCCTCTAATGGATTCCTACATATAAAAAATGCACATGATTGGTCTAAATTATATTCATACTTAAAATAAATATTTAGCAAATAAATGTTTCTAATGATTTACAAAGGTATAAATTGAATTATACATCTATTAGAAAGCTAGCTTGCATTTTTCCAATTGAACCCACAAATATTTGAGGTTTTTATTTGTCTGCTAACTAAGTGCTTCACATATTCAGGGCAAATTTTGTGGTCTGTGATGTTTACATAGAGCTACAGAACTATAATATTTGAATGCTTTAAACTGGATAATGTTTACAATCAGTGACAAATCTATACATTAGTCAAAACAAAGTGAAGAATCAAAATAATCTTGTCATTAACCATCTGGCTGATAGTATTATCTGATGCCAAATGTTGTTCTGAGTTCCCCATCTATCCCTGAATGCAGTTGATAGCCACCTATATTATAGTTGTAAGCTATGTGCTTATTCTAAATACAACAAACATATTTACAATTATGATATGCTCATCACTATATAAACCTTATTTAATTTCATGTTATCAATAGTATTAAAGCAAGAAAGATGTCAATTGTTTATTCCTCACTAAAACATATGACTGCACATAGTTACACTGGTTACCTTTGTCTAATACCAATTTAAAAGGTAATGCCAAGAGAATTTGTTGAAGATAAGTCAAGGAAACCATAAGTTATGAGCTGTAAAATCAGATGAAACTGTGGCAAAATGCTATTGAAAGTAACAGGATGACCAGCAGCATCAAATTCACTGAAGTTTGTCATATGGATGATCACACTATGGCATAAAACACACACACATACACACACAAAATGTGAACTTGGAATGATAGGAGCTTACTTCACCAAGGCGAGGTTGTGTAAAACTATGCCAATCAGTATATGCATATCTTCCAGTATCCACCAGTCCCTGTCCTGATCCTTTATATGATTCCAATGTCTGATGTCCTCCACTTTTGGTTGATTCCAAGGTGTAACCTTTGACCATTTCAAAACTTTGTTGTCCACCAGTTTTGGTTCCCTGTCCACCAAGTGTCCCAGAGCAGATAACTGGCTCACAAATGTTTGTAGTCTGTGTGGGGAGTCTAATATTTGCTTCCTAAAGATAAATTTTAAAAGAATATAAAATGAGTTAATTGTTTTTATTCCTTTCACATATTTTCATTTGATATTTCATATCCAACAATGTAAAACCATGAGATTCAGAAGTTACTGTCTTAGGTTTTTGTTTAAAATCCTAATGTGAAATGAAAACAGTTAAGAGAGGTCTCTCTAAAATGTCAAATGTGATGAATATCTGTGAACAAAAAAGGCCTGAATTGCACAGTAAAAAAACAACTTGGCATTTTATTACTATTTCCATAGATTTAAAGGATTTCACATGGCTATAAAAGGCAAAGATGTTTACTGAAAGTTAAATTATTATTCCTAAAAAAAAATGCTGGATCACATGACCAGCAAGAAGGTAGAATGGAAGTTTTACATAATGTTTTCAATGTAAAATCTCAAAATAAAGTAATTAGGTGGCACACAATATAGTAATCACAGCCCATTCCATAAGACAAAAAGACAGAAAACTCTACTCCCACACAAGGTTAAAAAAAAAAAAAAGAAAAGAAAATTAATTAATTAACACCAGCAAATTTTAACATAAAAGCTTTCACTCAGTGCTACACTCTCTCAAAGAAATCCACTAACATACTACAATGAACACAAGACACCTCTTAGGTTAGTTACTGGGGACCTGGATGTAAGAATCTCCCATGACTATGTTATGTATGCCTAAAATATTTCCCCCATCCTTGCCCCATCCCACAAGAAGCAATAGACATTGATTCTGCCCAGCCATGTAAGGCAAAGGAAGACCGGGGAATGAAGGAATAACATGTATTGACAGTACTCAGTGCTATAGGCTAGAGACGAGTAGTATTAACCTTAATGAAAAAAGGACTGGAAAACCACATGAGGCCAGTCCTCTCTTCCATGAGGTTGCTCATGGCAGGGACCCCAGCAGATAACCCCATATTCCCCAATGTAAAGAAACTAGTTGTTTTTTTTTTTTTCAGGAGCCCAGCCTGTACAACAGTGGAAGGAGAGGATCAAAGAGTAAGTGAAAGGAAAATATAAGAAAAAGACTTAAACAACATAATTTTTAAGAGACCATGCCTCAATAAAAGTCAAGTACACATGCAGATTAATAAAAAAAAGGACCACAAATATAAAAGCAAGAACAAGTAAAACCTCAAAAAAGAACCAAAATACTTTAAACAAATACTATAACATGAAAGAAGGCAAACTGTTGTTGCTCAATAAAAATAGAATCCTATGGACTCAGAATTACATCAGTTCAGAGATGGAAAGGATCTCAGTAGCTATTTATTCTAGTCACTCAGCCTCTACTTTAAGGTCTTTGTGAGGTACAAACAACCATTTCCTTCCTTCCACTGGACTTTTGTATAGTTCTAATTATTAAGAAGCCTAACTTCAAGCCTAACTTCTTTTTTATTTTATTTTTTTTTTGTGATTTCTATTCATTTCTCCAGGTTCTGCCCTCTGGGTTGGCGAAACAAAGCAAATCTAGTCCCTCTCTTACATAACAGCCTGAAAGTAATTGAAGAAAACTATCACTTTTACTTTAACCTTCTCTTCTCTGGCTAAACAAGCCTAAGTACTTTAGGTGATTACTTAAGCTTCCATTCTAAATGACTTTCTGGGGCAGCTGAAGGTGGTGCAGTGAATAGAGCCCTGGCCTTGGAGTCAGGAGGACCTGCGTTCATAATCCGGCCTCAGACACTTGACACTTAATAGCTGTGTGACCCTGGGCAAATCATTTAACCCCATTGCCCAACCCCCCCCCCCCCAAAACACGAATAACTTGCTAATTATAGCTCTGGGCAATCCACATTTTGCTGCTCTTTCTCTCCATTTCCTGCCCTAGCAAGCTTTGTTGCAGATTAAGAAATCAAAATGACTGAAACAACTACAAATTTATACTGCCTTACATTAAGGGAGACTTCATTGCTGCTCAGCAACTCCTATTCTACTTACTGATTTCTTATCTCAATTCTCCGCAGTGACTGTTCCAAAATTGTTCTTCTATCTTCAAATCCTCAATTTCACTACATCCTTTCCCAGAGTAATAGCCTATAGCCTAGGCTTCTACTTTACTGAAAATATAGTAACCATCTGACCTCTAAGTAGCCTTCTAGTCCTAATAAATGATCCTTGGAAGAAAATTAATCTGGCAGGTACATGTAGGGTGTATTTCACTTTGGGAGAGTCTAGAAAATTGTTAGGAAGCTATTGCAATAGTCCAGCTGTTAGGTAAATTTCAGTGTGTTAATACCTCTAAATCTCACGTGGTTTATTCATCTGAATAGTTTTATAACTAGAGATGGTGGATAGAAGGCTGACCTTGTAATCTAAAAGAACTGAGTTCTAGTCCTGTCTCTGATACATCTTTGTTATCTACCATCCTGGTAGAAAGTCACTTACCTTCTCAGTGCCCTTGGCAACCCGCTAAAACTCAAAGTTACAGATTAATGTACTTTTCTTTTCTTCACAAGCATGACCTCTTCAATCATTCCTTTCCTTCTCCAATCTTAAATCTCTCTTTATCCTTTGGCTCTTTCCATGCTGTCTATAAGCATGGCCAGACCCTGGGGAGGGGGGGACCATTTCATTTGACTCTACAATTCCCTTAAGCTATCATCCTATTCTCTATCACAGTCAAACTATTTAAAAAATTATCAACAGTCATTGCCACGACTTCCCCACATCTCACACGCTTTTCATCTTTTCACAACCTGGAGTCTGATCTTATTATTTGATTAAAACTTCTCTTTCCAAGTGTATCAATAATATCATTTTCTAAATTATTCGTCTTTTCTCACTACTCACTACTACTCTTGACCTTTCCATAGCATTTCACATCTTTGACCATCCCATTTCCTGGATACTTTCTCCTCATGGGTTTTTTGGTGATTCAGCTTGGATATTATATGTTGTCCATATAATTTTGTTGTCCATATTAATATGTTGTCCACATATAATATGTTGTCCAAAATAAAACATATAAACCCATACATATATATATATTTCAAGCTAAATGAAAATTTGATTATATGTTCTTTTAGATTATTCAAATAACTTCTCCTTTGCATAATAATTATTAAGCAAGGGTTGGCATATATATGTACCTGTGTATGCATGTATATAAATCATATGTAAAATTATAAATCATATATTACACATATACGTACACACATGTACACATATGAATATATATACAACTTTATATAGATAGATATACAGAGGTTATATATGTAATAATACATGTTTATATCATGTCTTAAATTTTACAAAGCATTTTATATTTAGAATCCCGTTTGAGCCTTGCAATAACCCTGTAAGGTAGATACTACATATTATTTTTGTTTTACAAATGAAATGAGAAACCCTCTTTGAAACACAAAGCAATTAAGTGACTAGCCCATATCTGCACGAGTCAGGATTAGGACCTAAGTCTTTCATGATTTCATGTCCAGAACTCTTTTCATTAATCTACACTGTCATTCAGTTAAAGCCACACTCTTTCACTAACCATTTACTTCAATTACAGCTATGTGGAAGTGGGGCAGAGGGAAGCCCAATAATTTTCTCTTAATGCCCTATGTTTTTGAAGAATTGAACCAAGCACCATGTTTGCTTAATCTATAAAATAATAAAAAAAATGTAAACAATTAAAGGAGATCATTCAATGCCACCTTGAAATTTATCATACAATCAAAAACAACCCCCCTAAAAAAAGATATAAAATGTTTACCATCACTTCTTCTCCTGGGGCTTCTGTGTTTGATACAATTAAATTCTGTTGAGCTATATCTTCTGGGAAACATTTTTGTACTGTCTTCTTAGTGGTAACACAGAAACATGTAAACAGGACACCTAAAACAAAGTACTTTAGTTAAACCTCCTATTTGTCTAAATTTTTATTGGATGGCCTTTTTCTGGGGATACCCTCAAGATTCTTATCTTATTGGTAGAACTGTGAATTCTTCTCAAGAACTTTGCTACTTCTTAGAACTTAAAAAATACCACCACCTATTGATGTAGACACATTGGGAAAGACAGTCATGAACTTTATAAAAAGATATTAATAAATTAATTCATGTATTTTAATTTCTATATGTAGGTAAAAATAACTCTGTCACATAACCAAAATATCATTAGAAAGCTAAATAAAAATATAGAATTAGATCATGGATTCATTAATATTGTTCATTGGCAATGCATCCAACTAGATCCTTGACATGATACATGACAAAAGTGACTAATAAGCACTGGGGTCAAGAAACAAGAGAAATGTTGGCTTCTATGCCCAAGTTCTGTTTTATGGACAGCTTAAAGGCCATAATTTTATGCCACGAAGTTAAAAGAACAATAGTAAGACATTCAGTACATAGCTTCCACTGTGGGAGATTTATGGGAAAACAAAGGAGGAAAAATCACACAGAAAAAGGAATAGAGGAGTTGTGATTGGTATTGTTAGAAGTACCCACACTAATTATATCACAGATCTTTCAAAGAATGAGACTGTTTCCAGCTCTTGAGTTATTTTCAAAAATTGATACCATCTCTTCTTTGCAATTCTCTTTTGAGAGGAAGACCAAGACCCACCAAAGGTCACATAAGTGATAGTAAGAAGAGATGACATCGGATTCCACGTCCTTTAACCTCAAATCCACCCCACCTTCATTATCACATGTGCCCCTTTGGGAGCATTTGGGGTAGAAGGACTATCTCCACCATTTCCTTCATCATCCTGGTCTCCTCATCTCTTACTTCCTATTGTACCCTTAACTCCTTCCCATCTCTCCAAGTTCTTAGCCAGCTGCAAGTATTTAGAAATAAAATTAATCAAAAAAAATTACATGCTCCAAAAGCCTTGGAGAGATGATTTCACTTTTTTGGTCTAAGAACTATATAGAGAAATGTATACAATTCTAGGCTTTGAAGGTATTCATTACATCAAATCAATTTTGAGATTAAGCTGTCTGTAGTTTAAATAATAATAGCTGACTTTATATTGTGCTTTAAAATTTGTAAAGTGTTTTTGATATTGTATACCAACTCTACCTTATGAGAACCCTATGAAGTTGGTACTACAAGTTATCCCCATTTTATAAATGAGAAAATTGGGGCCTAGAGAAATCAATTAAGTGACTTGCCAGGATTACACAGCTAGTTAGTGTTGGAGGATGCCTTTAAACTCAAGTCTTCCTAGTTCCAAGTCCAGGATCCTCTCCACTACTCCATGCTACTGCCTCCAAAACAAATCATAAGTTCATAACATAATGATTAAGAAACAGAACAATTTTTAAAAAGCAAATATAGACATGATCTGAACATCCAACTACACGATAAAACTCCTTGGAGGAACTACTTTCTATTTCTTTTCTACTTTCCCACCTCCCTGTCTACCATCCATCAATTATACTCCACTACACACAAGAAATGAAATGGCATGATGGAGAATGAGGCTCACTGAAGGACAATTTGAAGCCCTGTCCTGTAGCCACGTAGCATCCTCTCAAGATGAAGAAGCTAACACTTATAATTTCATTATTTTATTGCTTAAATCTTGAAATGATTTCCAGAACAGTAGCTTTACTTCAAGGTGTCTGACTTCTACCCATTTGGAGTGACACTATTTAAAGCAGAAGTTTCTATATTTTCAAATTGGCCACATGATAAGATATCTATATTTTTCAAGGTGCATAAATTTAATTTATTTCATTAAGCTTTATTTACAATTGCTAATAACCTGAGTGAGCCACCAAGGTACCCAGAGGCAGTAAGTTACATGACAATAGTGGGCAACCGGAAGTTATTGTCTATTAGTTTATGTGTGTTCCCTAATTAGGCTAAAGGCATGTTAAGAGCCTCAGGTAGGCTCTAGAGTCAAGCAAGATGCATTTGGCTAATGGGGTAGCTCTAGGGACAGGCAAATTGGAGTGGCTGATGGAGTACCTGTTAGATGTTGGAAGTTTAAATATTTAAATAGGAAAGATTCAAGGCAGAGTCAGCATGGAGCAAAGGAAAGCGAACTGGATTTGGAGTCAGAAGACCTGGGTTCAAGTCTATTACCTATTTCCTGTGTAACTCTAAGCAAGTGACAATCCCTCTGGGCCTCAATTTCCTGATATATAAAGGGAGGATTAGACTAGATCACCTCTAAGATCTCTTCTAGATTTAAATCTACGATCTTATGATCCCATAGCAGAGTAATGAGCCACAGCATAGACTCTTGCATTTAATTTTATTTTAAGAAAATTACTAGTTCATATCTGAATAGCCATAATTCTAAAGAGGAATACAGCTCCTGCTATGGATAGTTGAACATAGGTTCAAGTAGCATACTCAGGAATGTATCACACTGTTTTTTTTTCCCTTAAGGAGCACAATGAGCAATCCTAAGGCCATGGTCAGGAGGTGGTCTTTGTGACTTACAGGAACATTTCAGGGAATTACAAAATGAGGTGCACTTCTTTTTTGGTAGTGTGGGATACAGATAATCCTCAAACAAGACTGTCAGAGCTGTCTGGTATCTCAGACTAAGAAAAGAATAATGGTAGCTTTAAATTAAGTCATTCTCCAACCACCTCCCTCGAGTAGGTATTGCCCAACCCCAATTTTCCTCATCAAACTCATCAATAAAATGAGAGAATTGGACAGCATGAAATCTAAGTCCTTATCTAGGCCTGTAATTCTATTTCTATATAAGTTCATACACTGGATGCTATTATGAAAAGGTATTGATGATCACAAAAAAACCCACATTTAATTTAATTTGAGGAAAGACAAGACTAATAATTATACTTACATAGTAGCAGTGCAGAACCCAGCACCATTGCAAGGATAGCCCATTTTCCAAGATGTATATTTGAAGGTGATACCTCTCTCAACCGACCAGGTATCATCTTACAATCACTCGGTAAAGTACAATCACACAATTTGACTTTTAAATGAGATACTTGACCAAGGCCATGTCGATCTTCTACTCTAAGGAACACTGAATAAAAATCACTCTTGAGACCTTCCTTTGGATGAATTAAGGCAGATGTATCTGGGAGAAGAGAAGCATTAATCTAATATTAACAAGACCTTTCAATGCAAGTTCCTAACCAAGTTATGTATTTTGATAGAAGTTCTTAGGTAAAAAGAAAAGTCAGGTGGGTATTTTTATTTGGTACTATTTTGAGGATAAAAGAAATAACATTCTTCCTTAACTTTTAGAGAACAGCTCAATCTCTATCTGGTGTTGGTGTTTAAACATTAGCAAAACAAACTACATATTCCTATATGAACATGAACATTTTTTGTTCTTAAAAGGTTTATTCATTAAAGGATTTGCAGAGTAGGAAAGTATAGACAGTGCTTTGTAAATAACACCTGTTTATCCTTTCATAATATCTGAGATTGTTACAAACTAATGCTAACAACTTTCATTACAATAAAAAAGATAAAGATTTTAGTGAATTACAAGTAGAAATATTTCACATCTTAACATACCAGACTTTTTTTGTATTGTCCAAAGTTTACTAGACTGATTATCCAATGTAAATTTAAAAGGCGGACCATTCGTTGGTCCATCATGATCCACAGCTTCTATCATGCCAACTTCATCCCCATGACGGCAAATTGTCACATTTTTCTTAATTATTGGTGAATTATCATTTTCATCTTCCAGACGTACTACCAAAGTCCCAGTGCATGATCTGCCAACTAAAACAGAAGCATAATAACTTTTGGATTAAAACTGATCGGTTTCAGTTCATTATTATTATATTAAATTAACAGATCTACAATTGGAATAGTGAGGTGGCACAGTGGGGAAAAAAAAAAAAACGCCAGGCCTAGAGTCAGGAAGACCTATGTTCAACTTTATCCTCAGACATTTATTAGCTATTTGCCTCAATTTCCTCAACTGTAAAATGGGGATAATATTCCTAGAGTTGTTGTAAGGCTCCAATGAGATAATATTCGTAAGTTGCCTGGCTCAGTTCCAGGTAGGTTCTATAGCAGGTACTATAAAAGTAATAATAATTATTATTGTTGTTATTATTATTAACCTCTGACACTCATTAGCACCATGACCTTTCACAAAAATCACCTAATCTCTTTGGGACTTAATTTGGGGAGAAGATGGCTCAACTGACTCAACAGGGAACAGACCAACTGATCTTAAAGGTCTTTGTTGGTGCTAAGAGCAAAAAACTTACTCATAAAGTCCCTAAAATTAATGACAGCTCAAAGTGAATTCAAAATTACTTTTTAATTGTTTTCCTCATTTCATTAAATATGCAACATTTACTCCATTTAAGTATATTTTATTGTTACTATGACTGAATGTTAAATTTACAACAAATTTAAAATGAGGAGATGGGACGTAATCATCTTAAGTTCCTTTACTGCTCCAAATCTAATATCTAGGAACATATTCTTTGTTTATATTTCAAATATATATTAAGATAACAGAGTTGAACTGGATCAATGACCATTGATAAAATTACTTACATATAACAATGGAGAATGAACCTTTTCATATTCATTCGTGATCAAAATATAAATTAACAAACTAACCCTTAGTTTTGGGAATTGAACAAAAATAGGTACAATTGATTAACTTACTGTTCTTCCTTGCTTGGAAAATAACCATCTATTCATCATATACATATGTAATAATACAGGTATTATTTTGAATATATTATAAAAGCCATTGCCTTAAATTCTTTATGACTATAATCCATGTTCGGGTTGATAGAATTTCAAAACCAAAATTGTACGAGAAAATATTTAGAGAATATTTCATATTTAACAAAACAACAAATCTTATTTTTTTCATGACTTTAATTAATGAAATAGTAGGAAACCACTATGCCTATTTAAAATATTTTTAGTTCAAATATATTTTAAAGTGTTTAGAAAAAAAGGGCCAGTACTCCTTTAAAAATAAGTCTGCGTCAATGTTTTGTAACAGGTTATGTAACTACTATATGTTACCTCACAAGATAACGAAAAGGTTTTGGAAAATCTTAAAGTAATATATAAGTATTGACAGAAGTTAATAAAAAAATAGACTATATGAAGATGTAACTAGACTGCAAAGGAAACATAACTAGATGATAGAGGAGGAAGCCTTCTGATTGGACTAGGAGAGCCATTCTAATGCTAAATATGTTTACTTTTAAACAATGTACAAATAGATTTACATTTATATAATTATTTGTTCTTATCCAACTCTAGATAGGGTTTGAATTAGATGACCTTTAAGTTACTTTCCAAATCTGAGATTTACTATATGTGTATGATCTCCAAATGTAACTATCCAACCCTAATTCCCCTCCTGAGCTCTAGTCCTGCAATAGCAATGGCCTGATGGACATCTCTACCTGGATGTTTTGTGGGAAAAGCAAACTCACTAAATACAAAAGAGACACCATGATCTTTCCCCCTAAACCTTGCCATTGGCAGTTAGGTGGTGCAGTGGATAGAGTGCTGGTCTTGGGGTCAGGAAGGCCTGCTGAGTTCAAATCTAATGCCAGATAATTACTAACTGTTTGACTCTGGGCAAGTCATTTAATGTCTCTGCCTTAATTTACTCAACTGTAAAATGGAGTATGTAATATATCCCAGAGTTGTGAGGATCAAATGAAGGATGTATAAAGTACTTAGTACAGTACATGGCACATAGTAGGCACCTTTTAAATTCCTCCTTCCTTTCTTTCTGGCTGGGTCCTGAACTTGGCAAAATATCCCCCTCACCTGTGCCTTTGCAAAGGGAGCTCCTTCTGCTTATATTACACCACTCTCTCACCTCTCCCTATTAGAATCTTTACTTCCTTTGAGGTTCAACCCAAAGGCCACCTCATAATTCCCCTAATTGTTAGTGTACTCTCCGCTAAAGTTGTCTTGCATTTACTTCTGCTCCTCAGGCTCCTCAGGGGTCCATTTTTTGTTTGATTTTGTTTTGACTTGTTGTGTATCACACAGTACTGCTCTTAGACAAAGACAAGTATCTAAGGATACCTTCACCCTCTGGATAATGCCATACATCTTAGACACAATAAATTGTGAGATTAGCCATCAAGTGTAAACCATTTTTTTCTGGAATGCTTGGCACACAATGTTACAAATAGCTAGAAGGATGAGTGGGAGGATTCACTCTTTAGCCATCAGTGGTTAGACAAGCTGTCCAGAATTTTGACACTGGGTGATTATTATAGTCCATTCAGATGTGATAACTTATTGGTGAGTGGTACAGCTGGCATGACTGATACTGATTCAGTGATTTTTGTGTAAGGGAGCATTTCCAGGAAAAGTACTATGAAGTTCATGCCAAATTCCTGTAAAATTTCTTTATAGCAACAACTTAAAAAAGCTTGGATTGGAATACTTATCCAAGTGACCACTAAAGGGTTAAGAGATTTCTTCTACATCCCATATTTTATGAAATCATTCTTCTTTTCAAGATCATGTCCCATTTATTATGAAAAGTTTCACACAGATGTCCTATACTTTTTTTTAGGTAATTGGGGTTCAGTGACTTGCCCAGGGTCACACAGCTAGTAAGTGTCTGAGGTCAGATTTGAACTCAGGTCCTCCTGACTCCAGGACTGGTGCTGTAGTCCTATATCTTAAATATGTATGTTTAGTGCACAAATGACAGTAGTGATAAGTGATTTTGATCTCATATTTGAACAATGGAAAGAGAGACATGTTAAAAAAATTACTTGACCAAAAAAAGCAATTGTGGCTATAGTCACCACTCATTATAATCCAACATTTGGCCATTATTTAAAATATAATTTTGTGTGTTGTGCCATGTTAACTTGAGATGAGGTGATACAAAATATGAATGTCATCAGTAAAATTCAAAACCCCAAACTTTTTTGAAAAAGTAATAAATAAATAGAGAAACCCTTAGATGCAATGATGATTTAAGAGGATATTTTCATGGAAATTCATATAGAAACCCTATCAAATACACTAATCATGAGTTGCATGGTAACATAACCTAAGTCTTTTAATATTGAGCTTTCTTATGAATTTTTGTGTCCTCCCTTTTTGGTATACTTTTCTATGTGTGAATATATATTAGTGAGATGATGAAAGTACCAAATATGAATACAAGTATGTGTGAATGTGCTTGAGATAAAAATTATGAAGTAGACTAAATATACTTAGTTGCAGAAAAATCAAAAGTAAAATATTGATGTTGAAAATTTGCATCTGTTATATCTATATATAGTCTAAGACTGTCTATAGTCTTTAAAACTATATTGGAATTCATTCAGTGAAATTACTCAAAGATGTAAGTGAGAATTTTGAATACTTCAGAAGAAATTATATTTTAAACTATATTGAAATTTAATTTTGTGGTTATTATACTCATATAGTATAATGATAAATCAGTGTATCTCATGGATTCATAAATTATGTCCTACTTTTTAAAGTCAAGTTCATTATATAAACAGGTACCCCAGAAAAGGGACTGAATGCCCAAGGGCAGCCCCTGCTTTTGTACATAGTAAGTGCTTAAAAATATTTGTCGAAATAAATAAGTTCAGGGATTTTTCCTCCCTGTCTTATTTAAAAGATTCAGGAGTCATAGAAGAATTATAGTTTGTCACAGTACACCTAGGATTATTTTAAGTCAATAAGAACTTCTATAAAGGCAATCATAACAAGCCTGTATCCACCCCTCAATGACACCTGTCCAGAAAAAAAATGTAGGCACACTTTAGAAGCTCCAGATCACAACAGTTTAAGTCTAAGATATATGGTATACAATGACAATGATCAAAATACATATAAAAAGTAGTGAAGTCCTATAAAATTATACTGTTATACTAGATCTGGGTGAGTTGATGTAGGCAACAAATGCTAAATATAACCAAGAGGAGCTGTTTTCTTCATTTGAGGGTCAAGAAGAAGATCAAAAAAGTGGTAAGATTCAGGTATATACCATGCTCATGTGCAATGCTCAAGGTGGAGGAAATGATGATAAAGGATATCATCAAAGGATGATAAAAGAGAAATAGGCTTATGTATCTGTTATTCAACTTCTGTTTTACAAGAAGAATAATTTTTAGTCTGAGTCTAATTTTTAGTCTGAATGGTAATACAGAAATGATTTTAACATAAAATACAAAATAAGGAGATAATGAAGTTGGATCACCACGTCCACCTGAGTACATCCCAGAGAACTAAGATAATTGACATATAGTAGTAGTAGTAGTAGTAGTAGTAGTAGTAGTAGCAGCAGCAACAGTAGCAGCAGCAGCAGCAGCAGCAGCAGTGGCTAACGCTTATGTACCACTTCAAAATAGACACGTTTCTTACCAAGCCACTTTCCATGATCTTTGAAAATAAAGGAGAATTGGAGAGGTGCTATAGGGCTGTAGAAAGGTGAGACTAAGATTTACAGAAAGGCAAAGAACATGAAGTCTTCAGACTATCTAGGCTTATAAGCATAACCTGATTCCTAGGGGGGAAAAGGTTCAAAATAAAAGGGAAAATGCTCATACTTGTTATTAAGGGGATAGTTTGTGAGACTTTAGAAAGTGCAGTAATGAAAAATCACAGCTTCTTAAAAAATTTTGATGCATATGGGTAAAGAGAATATTTTAGATATAATTTGCCTGGATTTCAGCAATGCATTTCTTTATTCTAACCTTTAGGACAAGATAGAAGGATGTAGACTAAATTAAGATAGTTCAGTTAAGTGAAGTTAGTTTGAATGACCAAAGAGTAGTGATTAATTAACAATCAAATGATATATTGGAGGGTAATCTTTGGTGGGAAGTCCCAGGAATCTCTCCTTGTTCCTGTGCTGCCCAACATTTGTATAAATAACTTGGATTAAGTCATTAATAGTGTATTTATAAATTTTGCATATTACACAAAGTTGTGAGTCAAAGATAACTTGTTGAATACTAGCATCCAAAAAGTATTTCTTTGAACAAAGAATGGGCCAAATGAAAAAGACTAATTTTAAAAGGGATAAATATAAACCCCTATATTTGGGTTCAAAAGATAATTTGCAAAATTCAGTGTGTATGTGTGTGTGTGTGGGAGAAAGAGAAAGAGAGAGAGAGAGAGAGAGAGAGAGAGAGAGAGAGAGAGAGAAACTGAGTCATAGTCATATAACTATTTGCATGAAAAAACCTGGGGATTTTAATAGACTATATGTACAATATGAGTCCACAGTATGACATGATAACTAAAAAAAAAGCTAAAACAATTTTAGGCTTCATTAAGCATGTCATACTGTCTAGGAGATATGATCATCTCTACTTTGATCAGACCACAGTTGGGATACTATGTTCAGTTTGAGCCAATAGTATTTTAGGAAGAACATTGATGATCTTCCAAAGGAAGGAGTGTAGAATGATAAAAGAACTAGAGACCTTGCTATACAATGACCAGTTGAAGAAATTGGAGGTAAATGGCTTAGAAAAGAGAAACCTTAAGAAGTATGTGATAATTACCTTCAAATAGAAGGTAGGGCAGCTAGGTAGAGCAGTGACTTGAGTTCAAATGTGGCCTCAGACACTTAACATTTGCTAATATGTGACTCTAGTCAAGTCACTTAACCCCGATTGCCTCACCAAAAAAAAAAATACTAGAAAGAAGGTCATGTTGAATAATAACAACTCACTAATTCTATAATGCTTTAAGATTTAGGAAATATTCTTCTTGCAACAAAGGGATGATATTGGTTGAACCAGAGTTATTATCCCAATTTTAAATATAAGGAAATTGAGACTCAAAGAGATAAACTGTCCTTCCAGAGGTGCAGAAGTACAAAGTGTCAGTACTAGTATTTGTAGAATAGTCTCCTTATTTCACATTCAGTGTATGTTCTTTCCATCTATAGCCCCGCATTATGAGTTAAATTGTTCTATTCAACTACAGAGGGTAGAATTTGGATAGTGATTACAAAGAGACACATTTAGACTCCCCTATAGGGAAAAGTCTTCCTGAAAATTAGACCTGCCCCCAAAGTGAAATCAGCTGCCATAGGAAATAGTGGGCTCCTCATCAGAGTTGGTCTTCAAGTGAAGGCTGGATATCTACTTCCAGGGATGTTATAGAAAGGATTTCTGTTCAGGAACAGGTTACAGTAGATAATTTCTTCTAACTCTGAAGTTCTGCAACATATTATATTTGTCATATATGGTACTCACCTTTATCTACTGCAAGCACTGTGACATTGTACTGGTCATTTTTTACAAATGGTGACTCTCTATCCAGGACTTTAGTGGTTACCAAGTTCCCTGTTTTTTCATTAATTTGAAACCAATTATCTTCATCTTTTAGCTTCTGATACCTAATTAGGAGATGTGAGAGGGAAAATGATATATTCTAAAATTCATCATTATAGGAAATGCACATCCCCTTTCCCACATTCCCAACTAAATATGGGAGTAATAAAACAAATATGATTAAAAAGTTACATACATCAAGCCTTCATTACTGTGGGTTTCTGGATCCCGTGCTGTGTATCCACGGATTTCTTTCCCAGCTACCATACCATCCTTAGATGATATAACTGTTACAGGAGGCTGGCATTCAGGTCCCTCATCAGTATCTTTGACATTGACAATGACAGAAGTTGTACAAGTTGTAATGCCTCTGGAACTTGTCCCTTTAGAGAACTCAGCTTCATTAACTACACCAACTTGTAGAATAATTTGGTGAGCAGCTTCATAATCCAGTGGCTGTTGAATCAAATGTGTCTTGTTAGTCAATGGAAAACAATATACATAGCAGGCCCATTTGTTAATCAGGCTATAATATCTAGGCATAGTGAACAAAAAAGGAGGGAAAATACAGAGCTAGATCCAACGATGTGTTCAAAATAACAGCTAAGATTTTTAGAAACTAATTGGCCACTTTCAGTAGACTTTCTAACAGAAGCTTATGAGGTTTAGGCAAATGTTTCCAATGTTAATTTTTCTGTTTGGCTGAAAAGCACCAGTCTTCTTTTTTTAATCTGCTCTTAATCACAAGCAGAAATGCTGATGAAGTAATAGAACACTACAGTTTGAATAGTCTCACATTCCACGTTATAGTGCTTCTTCCATTTGTTTCACGCAAAAGGCACAAATCATTAAGAAAGCATAAGCCCAGTAGGCTAAGGAGTTTTAGTGATTCATTAAAGAACCAAAGCAAAAATACTATAAATTCTACTCATTACATTCAAATACTCAAATGGATCTGTTGGAAATTCCCTTCAATTACATAGAAGGCAACCCAGCCAAACCTGCCCATTCTGCAGAATTCTTGTTATCAAAAAAAAGTCATCATTAATTAACTACATAAGTATATATATATATACACATATATATGTGTGTGTATACACATATATGTATAGATATACACATACATTTATGACATAATAATTTGAAATTACAATCTATATATAGAGCAGAGATGATAAAAACTCATCCTTATCATTGCAATGTATTTACCTTGACAACATGTAAGATGCCTGCATTTGTATTAGGATCAGTAGTGATTTGGAATTGTCCATTTTCATTTCCCTTTAAGATAATGTATTTAGCTCTTGAATGAGGAGTGTTGGGTAAATCCTTGTCCTCTACATCCATGCGCAGAATTTCTACATTGATTCTATTTTCTTCCACTTCTGTCACATACTGAAAAAATGTTTTGTTATAATTTCATTATATACATAATTTCTAAAAGCAACACACTTTTTGCACTCTCCTCCTAGCCTCAGCAAAAGAGTCAAGTCAAGTTGACAAGTATTTATTAAGTTCTATTGTCAGGCTCAATGAGTTGTAAGTGCTGGAATATAAAGAAAGGTAAAAATAACACCTGCCCCAGAAGGAACTCAAAATCTAAAAGGGAGGGAGGCAAAGAGAAAACAAGCAAACAACTATGTATTTACAAGATATATACAGGTTAAATTAGAGATCATTTCAGAGGTGAGGCACTAACATTAAGGAGGACTAGGAAAGATTTTTGCAGAAGGTAGGAGTTTAGCTGAGACTTGAAGGAATCCAGGAAGTCCAAGAGGCAGAGGTGAGGAGGGAGAGAATTCTAAGTATGGGAGACAACTAGTGAAAATGACTGGAGTTGAGAGTTGCAGTGTCTTGAGTCAGAAACAGCAAGGAAGTCACTGGGGAGTAAAGTATAAGAAAACTAGAAAGGTAGGACTTTAAACGTCAAACAGAGGGTTTTGTGTTTGAAACTGAAAGAAATAGGGAGTCACTGGGATGTATTGAATGGGTGTATGAGTGGGGTAAGATGGTCAGATATGTGCTTTAGGAAGATCAGTTTGATGATGAATGTAAGATGATCTGGAGCGGAGAGAGATTTGAAGCAGGAAGATCAGACTTTTGTAATAGTCCAGGTGTGAGGTGATGAGGGCCTGTACCAGGGTAGTAACAATGTCAAAAGGAAAAAAGGAAACATACATGAGAGATGTCATCAAAGTAGAATTAGTAAGACTTAGCGAAAGATTGTATAACAGGAGATGAGAGTGAGGAGTTGAGGATTACACAGGTTATAAGCCTGTATGACCTGGAGGACGGTGATGCCTTTGATGGTGGTAAGAAAGAAAAATGGGGAAAGTTTTGAAGAAAAAATAATTAATTGAGTTTTGGACATGTGGAATTTAAGATGTCTACAGGACATTCACTTCAAGATATTCAGTAGGAAGATGACTAGAAATCAGAAGAAATGTTATGGCAGAATAAATAGATCTGAGATTCATCTGCATAGAGACAATAATTGAATCCATGGGGAGCTGATGAGATCATCAAGTTAAATAGTATAGAGAGAGAAGAGAAGAGGGCTCAGGACAGTTTTGGGGAGGTACCCTCAGTTATTAGATGCAGTTTATATGAAGATCCAGCAAAGGAGACTGAGGAGTGGTAAGACAGGTAGGAGGAGAACCAGAAGAGAACATCATGACAAAAACTTAAAGAGAAGAGATAGTCAAGAAGAAGGGGTGGTACACAGTGTCAAAGAATGCAGAGAGGTCAAGTAGGATGAGGACTAAGAAAAGGACATAGATATTAAGAGTCAAGTGACAATATGAAATAAAATTTTAGAACTGTATTGTACTTAATTTCTATTTCTTCTCCATCTATCCAAATACCAAAACCCAGATCACATTCTATCTCTATGAACCTCCATTAACCATTCCCTGCACTCTTCCCTCTCTTGTGAACATATACAGATATTTCTTTTTAGCATATGCCACTTTTTCTATCTAAGATAAGTAATAATATATAAGTAATGTCTAAGATTTATGGAAGAATATATGTACATATTATATAAAATGTGTGTGTGTGTATATATAGAGTACATTTATTTGTACAATTATAAGAAACATAATTAAGACAAAAACTTCCTAAAAGTCCCAGTTTATATAAATGACTTATTAAAATAACTAATTTTACTAGAGAATCAACTAAAAAAACTAGTTGAAATAATTAACAAATTCAGCAAATTTGCAGGCTATAAAATAAACCCACACAAATCACCAATGTTTTTTATTTACTACCAACAAAACCCAGCAGGAAGAAATAGAGAAATTCCAGTTAAAATAGCTGCAGACAATATAAAATACTTGGGAATCTACTTGCCAAGACAAACCCAAGGATTATATAAACACAATTATAAAACATTTTTCACACTAATACAGATCTAAACTATTGGAGAAATATTAATTGCTCATGGGTAGGCAGAGCCACTATAATAAAAATAGCAATTCTACTTATTTATTCAGTGCCATACCAATCAAACTATCAAAGAATTATTTTATACAGATAGAAAAAATGGTAACAAAATTCATGTGGAAGAACAAAGGGTCAAGAATATCAAAGAGAATCAATGAAAAAAATGTGAAGGAAAGTTGACAAATACTTCCAGATTTCAGATTACATTACAGAGTGGTAATCATCAATACTGGTACTGGATAATAAATAAAGTAGTGGATCAATGGAATAGGGAAATAATACACAGTAGTAAATGACCATAGTCATCTAATGTTTCATAAATCCAAAGATCCAAGCTTTTGGGGTAAGAACTCACCATTTGACAAAAATTACTTGGAAAACTGGAAAGCAGCTTGCCAGAAAGTAGGCATAGACCAACATCTCACAGTTTACCAAGATAAGGCCAAAATGGATTTAGACATAAAGAATGATATCATAAGTAAAATAGGGAAGCATGGGGAGATGTACCTATCAGATCTATGGATAAGGGAAGAATTTATGACCAAACAATAGATAGAGGAGATTATGGAAAGTAAAATAGATAGTTTTGATTACAAGAAAAAGGTTTTGCACAAATAAAACTAATGCAGCCAAAATTAGAAGGAAAACACAAAACTGGGGGAAATGTTGCAATCAGGTTCTCTGATAAAGGTCTCATTTCTCATATATGTAAGGAACTGAGCCAAATTTATAAAAATAGAAACCATTCCCAAGTTGATAAATGGTTAAAGGATATGAACAGGCATTGCTCAGAAGAAGAAATCAAAGCTATCTATAGTGATGTGAAAAAATGCTCTAAATAACTATTGATTAGAGAAATGCAAATTAAAAAAAAAAAGCTGAGCTACCACCTCACACCTATCAAATTGGTTAACATGCCAGAAAAAGATAATGACAATGCTAGAGGGGATGTGGAAAAACTAGGGCACTAATGCATTGTTGGAGTTATAGACTAGTCCAACCATTCTGCAGAAAAATTTGAAACTACACTCAAAGGGCTATAAAACTGTGCATACCTTTTGACTCAGCAATACCACTACTAGGTCTGTATCCCAAAGGTGTCAAAGAAAAGGGGAAAAGGACCTTTTTGTTTAAAAATATTTGTAGCAGCTCTTTTTGTGGTGGCAAACAATTGGAAATTGACAGGATGCCCATTAATTGTGGAATGGTTGAACAAGTTATGGTATAAGATTATAATGGAATACTATTGTGCTATAAAAATGATGAGTAGGATGGTTTCAGAAAAACCTGGGAAGACTTATATGAACTCATGCAAAGTGAAATAAGCAAAACCACGAGAACATTGTCTATAGTAACAGCAATATTATAAGGATGATCAACAGTGAAACACTTGGCTACTCTGATCAAGACAATTTCAAAGGGCTCATGATGAAAAATACTGTTCACCTTTAGAGAAAGAGAACTAATGAACTCTGAATGTAGATTGAAGCATACTTTTTAAAATTTTATTTGTTTTTATTATTTCATTATGTTTGTGTTTTCTTTTGCAACATGGCTAATATGGAAATTAAAAATAAAATAACTAACTTTAGCTGGTAACAAAATCCCAAGGTAATGTTAACTTACCATATTTTAAAGAATATATTTTCTTGTTTAAAAATTTTGCAATTTTATATTACCACATACATGTTTTGCTGTAATTGTGCAATCTTACCTCCTGTGCTAATCATTCTCCCCACAACAAACCCAAACGAGCCTTACTTTGTATCACTTAAATTTTAATCCTTCCTCTCTCTCTGTCTCTCCGTCACTGTCTCTCTCTCTGTCTCTCCGTCACTGTCTCTCTCTCTCTCTCCTCTACACAAAGGGATTATAGGATTATGTATATTTATACATATTATATAAATACATGTACATATATGTGTTTATATGCATACAATATATAAGTGGAATGTGTACATATGCATGTATATCATATTTATATATTCTTTTTGATACTGAGACTCTAGAATTTGGCATCTGTGCAGGTAATATTAGGATTCTTCCCCATTAGCATTCAATATATTATATTGATTGACACTTTGCCCTTTGTTTCTATTACATATGCAAGGCATTTTTATCATGTCATTTACCAGAACTTGTTATTCATAATCCTTGAAGATTTGGTGGGAATTTTTTCAGAGATACCAATAATTCTCAGATTGTTCCATCAAGTTTTTCTCTTCTAGTTATGCTTGTTAATTTGTAGAAATCTAAAATTATCTTCTAGTTTTATCATTTTTTTAAAAAAATATTTTTTTGTTGTCTGTTCTTTCATTTCTGCATTTTTTTTTCTGCCTGAGGTACTCTCTACCCTAGAGAAAACACTGCTTCATAACGGTTTTTCAAAACCTTTTCCATATTGTGAATTCTTATGTGTTTTTTTTTAACTCTCCCTTCTGTGATCTTATTTCCACTCTTGTATTTGTGAAATACATCTACTTCTTTTTCTGAATCTAAACTACTTTGGAAATTTTAAAATATGTCTATCCTTATTTTTAGAGGTATTGTTTTTCTTTCTGCAGTATTGTTTTTGTCCCAGTCTTGCCTTTTCCTTATGGAGATTTCTCTTACCTTTTATATTACTCTACAATATTTAATTATTTTATTGGAAGGAGGTATTTTTTTTTTGCTTGAATTTTTGGTTTTGGTCTTTCTATTAGTTTTCATGTGGGAGTTTTGCTTCTTTCCTTACCTCCTTTTTTGTTGTTATTCTATTATTTTAGGGTCTACATTTGTCATATCTTAAGTTAATGCAGTAGAGATGAACTTCATTACAATAATGCATTTTACAATCTTGCTCTTAAAGATTTAATTTTTAAGAAGTAATAATTTGCTAAATGGAACATATAGAGAAATTGTATTTCATGTGTTAATTTATCTTCAAAATTTCAAAGGATATACAATTTGGATTTCAAACCAACAAAAACCAACACAAAATCTGTGATCCTCACAGGTTTTCCAAGTAAAATGTAACAAATGGGAATTTTTCAGTCAAATGATAACAAAGACAGTATAACCTTCTTGTAGTCCTTGGTGATTGCTCTCCCCTTTGAATTATTATCTATCCTATATTTTGAGACTTAGCAAATGCTACCTTGCATTATTTGTCCTCAAGCATAATTACATTGTAAGTTGCTCGAGGAGATGAACCATGTCTAATTCTCCTTTGTATCTTTTAGGACAGCTACCTATACATAGTAAATACTCAACAAATATTAATGATGTTGGTAATAAATAATTATTTATTAGGGTATATTACTGGAGGGCTGATTATAACAATAATCACCTTTGCTATGTTATTTTCTCACTAGCGTAAATTTATATTTCTCTTATTTTTGTCAACGGAAAAAGAACACATAACTAAGGAAGAATGTGTTATCAAAGAAGACGTAAGTAATGAATTGGAAACAGTATGGATCAAATGAGATAAAATATACAAAGTGCTTAGTAACCATAAAGTATCATATAAATATTAGCTAATATTATTAGTAATGTTATTATTAGTGGAAAGATCATTGGATTCAAAGTCTGAAAACCTGACTTAAAGTCTTGGTCTAGCCATTATTTAATTGTGTGGCCATGGGCAAGTGCCTTCATCTCAGTTACCCCACCTGTGAAATGGGGCATGACCACTATGATCCCTTCTGTCTTTAAATCCTATGATATTATGATTTCTTAAGGCTTATAATGTCATGTAAATCTATATAAAATGGATTTTTTTATTTCCTGACACTATGAAATATGAGGGGTATCACTTCCCCTCAACACCATAGCATTAGTGTGTCCTATGTCATATACTATTTAAATGGAACTTGGACTTAGTACACTAAGAAACCACATAGATATGCCACTTTTATTGTTTGTTCCATTAGATCTCCTCCTATACGTATGTAGCTGAGGGAAAAATATTGAACTATCCTATTCTTCAATTAAAAACCTGGACTGAAAGTAAGTCGGACAAAGGAAATAAGCTCACCCTTTAACTCCCTGAAGCAAAGTTATAAACTGTATTACTTCATTACTTACATGAGTTAAATCAATCATCTTTTTTTTTTTATCCAGATAGGTGTTGGGATTTATGAGTAGAACTGAACTTAGAAATTCTACTTCCTTCACACTACCTCCTATCCTTTCCCCTTTCTCACTAGCTCATTCACACTAAACTTGTTATGTGCCCTTATTATGACTTCTATTTTCTTGATTCCTTCCTTTTCTTTTAGTCTGTCTTTCCCCTTTATCTATATTCACCCTTGTTCATATGGACTATTTGTTTTCAGCCTTTGGTAGCTCATATTGGTCTGATCAGCCACAGTTGGATACATTGTACCTTGACCCAAACATAATAATATCATTTTTGGTCCTTTTCAAGAATGAAGGACAACAACCAACCAACTATTCACTCGACTCAGTGGTCTACTAGTTAAATGATTCATAGTTACTATTCTAGAATTCCTCATTCCTTTTACTTTCCACTATTCCAAACCTACTAATTATTTGCCAGTAGCCTCACTAGTTTATTTCAGGAAGAAGGGAAAGGTCCTTATAGTGAAACTAAAGATTTCTCCAAAGATAACAGGAAGGCATAATTCTCTCAATATTCTAGATCTTTTTGACCCATCAGATTATCATGATATTTCTACCAAAATATTATTTTCTTCCCCAAATAAATTCTGCTACCGTATGTAGTATCAACACTAAATGAAGTCATCCATAATGAATGTTCATGGTCTCACAAACCTATCAAGTTCTGAGTGGGGTACAGTGCAAAACTTACAGAAGTTTTTCGGAAAGTTGGAGCATTGTCATTTTCATCTCTAATGTCAATAGTCAATGTTGCTGTACTTGATAAACCAAAACTCTGGCCAGCCATATCTCGTGCTTCAACATGCAATATATATGTGGGGCATGCCTGGGGAAAAAAAATATCAGAGTCTGTAATGTTCCTCATTCCTGTAATAGACAAATCCTCAAAGTCAGCATGCACAGCCTCTAATGTAAACTTTTAATATTTTGGGACAAATAATAACAGCTAGCATTAATATAACACATTAAGATTTGCAAAGCCTTTTCCACATATTATCTGATTTGATCCTCACAGCAACTTAAGGAAATAGATGTTATTGTTAACCCCATTTTAGAGGTGAGAAAATTAAGGCTGCTAGGTTAAGTAATTAGCCTAAGGTCACACAACTAAGTGTCTGAGGCTAAATTTGAATTCAGGCCTTTCTGACTCCAAGTCTAGCACTCTACCCAATGTACCACTAAACTGTTACAAATGTGAAGGTTAAGTTAGTCAGATGTAAGCATAACAACAAATTCAAAAGCAATGTTTTGAAATCCATTTGGTAGGCCAAGACAAAACTTTCATGGAGAAAGTTTTGATCTACTTGCTAAACAGGGCAATTAGAAAGTACTTCTCAATTCTGATCTTCAGTGGTTTTTGAAAAAAATTAGGAAACATTCAATTTATTGCTCCTTCTTTGGAGTTTCCTACTTCTTTGGAATTGTTTACGTCTCAATCACGCATTTTCATAGGCAGAAGCAGAGCAACTTGGCTATTTCCTTTATTTTTCCACTTAATTTAAAATTTCTTAGATTTTTACTTGGGTATTTTTATGTCCTACATTTTGTTTTGCCCCCTATCTTCACTTTCTCCATTAAACAATGCCATCCCATTTCTGACTTTTTTTTTTTTTTAGTGAGGCAATTGGGGTTAAGTGACTTGCCCAGAGTCACACAGTTAGTAGGTGTTATGTGTCTGAGGATGGATTTGAATTCAGGATCTCCTGACTCCAGGGCCAGTGTGCTATCCACTGTGCCACCTAGCTGCCCTCTCCCTCCCCCTTTTTTTCTATTTCTGTCTTTTTAAGAGAAGATAAAGCAGGAAGCTTAATCATATTTACCATTTCAGTTTGACTTTCTGTCACATTTGTAAAATTTTTGATTTGCTAAAATTTACATCAATTTTATAAGTGGATTTTTTTCAATTTTACCTTTTCCTAAATTTCCCTTTCACTTTGGATGTAGAACCTGCTTGGTTTTATCTTTTGGTTTTTTATTTTTGAATCTCATGTTTTTGTTTCATCGCTATTCTAAAAACTTGCCTTTTTTGGCAATTGGGGTTAAGTGAATTGCCCAGGGTCACACAGCTAATAAGTGTCAAGTGTTTGATCTGAAGTCGGATTTGAATTGAGGTCCTCCTGACTTCAGGGCCAGTGCTCTATCTACTGCACCACCTAGCTGCCCCTAAAAACTTTTTTTTTAGATTGTATAGTTTATCTCCTATCTTCCAGAAACACTGGTCCAATACTGGTACAACCTTTCACCTCCCCTTTGATATCTCTTTAAAGTTTTTTTTTAAAGTTGCTCGCCCATTATTATGAGTGAATTATTAATATATTAAGAGTATCAATCTAAACTCACATAACCACCAATTTTCCCAAGATGAATATACCAATTTTATGAATAATAACTGATTTCCACCATGGATTTTATACTTTCATAAAGAGAAACGGAGAGATTAAGGGAGAGATCAGAGAGAAGAGGTGATGATGCTTCCCAAGACATCTATGTTCTTCCAAACACTCTAGAAGCATACAAAAAGGACTTCAGAGAGCAGGCAACAAACTTTCTAGCAAACAAATTCAAAAAGTTACTCCAAAAGCAGAGGCTCACAGAAGTCAGTTGTGTTATTGCTCATTATATATATACATAGCATTGCTCAGGAAACTGGAAAATAATTTACTTCTCTGTCAGGTGTCAATATGGTAGTGATCACACCCGTATCTGGATGGATTGCAAAATGTTTTGGGTTTTCTGGAATCTGCTTCAAAATGGTATATTTCAGACGAGTATGTAGTGTATCAGGCTCATCCCTGTCCGTGGCCACCACTTTTCCTACTGAAGTACCTGTAGGGATAAATCAAATTCTCTTGAACAATTGAATGAGTGATGAAATTTAATATTTTTTGATAAAGATGTGGTTATAGATAATTCTTTCCAAAAGGCCAGGAATAGAAGAATGTTTTACAGAATGGTTGAGGGTCATGTGATCATATTCTGAAAGTTCTTAGGTTCTCTATATAGTCTTAAAATGAACTTCAGTTAGATGGCTTTTTTAATTAATGTTGTCTGTATCCTATTTAATCTACATGTTTCTTATTCATTTGTAAGAGTGCTTCTTATCCACCTCCAGAGAGAAAATTGATGAACTCTGAGTGCAAATTAAAGTATAATTTTTTCACTTTATTTTTCTTGCTTTTTTTGTCCTCACATGGCTAATATGGAAATGTGTTTTGCGTGACTTCATATGTATAATTGATATATTTTATTGATATCTTAACATATTAATAATTCACTCATAATAATGGGCAAGCAACTTTAAAAAAAAAAAACTTTAAAGAGATATCAAAGGGGAGGTGAAAGGTTGTACCAGTATTGGACCAGTGTTTCTGGAAGATAGGAGATAAACTATACAATCTAAAAAAAAGTTTTTAGGGGCAGCTAGGTGGTGCAGTAGATAGAGCACTGGCCCTGAAGTCAGGATATTGATATGTATAATTGCTTGCCTTCTAAATGCATGGGGGTGGGGATGGAAGGAGAGAAAGAGGTTGGGACTGAAATAATTTTTAAATGAAGATTAAAATAAATAAATAAAGTATATCTACTTTTAAATAGTGGTTCTTATTTTTTCCCAGTTTCTTGACCTTTGGCCAGCCAATGCACTCTGACAGGTCATCACTATGCAGAAGAAGGGAATGACTAGAATTAAGATAAGGAATGGTACTTTTTTTGGTGGAGCACCAATGAATGTATACCTGTTCATTTTTTTAAAAGTTTAGATCTGTATTAATTTGTTTAAGTAGCAAAAACGTTGATGTTATTATGTTATAAGCATCATTGACATAAGACAGCAATGTGTGGATTATTATGCCCATACCCATACTTTTATCTTGTAAGAATCTTGAGATTCTTGTATGATGACAAAATGCAGAAATATTTGTTTGTTAACATATTTACTTATTATTACATTATATATTAGCATTTTAAAATACTTACAGTGTTCAAAAACCATTTGTACCTCTAAAATATTTTCTACTTTTTGGGTCCATGATAACCACAACTCGCTCACTGGTGGCTTCTCTGATTTTTTGTAATTTATATTTGCCCTGCATGACATATAAGAAAATTGTATTCCTATAGAGGTTGATTTATTAAATTTTGTAATTTAGAATTTGCCATTGCATATAAATATTGCAGACCTCAGAACCATTTGTGTTTTGTTCCTTTATTTCATAGAATAAGTAGGAGGTAAAGTAGTGTAATGAGAAAAGCACAGACCGAACCTGTAGTTTGGAGAACTTGGATTCAAATCCTGCCTCTGTCAACTATTAGTTGTGTGATCATGAGAATGTAATTTAAAGTCTCAATTTCATGTTATTCATCTTTAAAATAGAGATAATAGTATCTACTTCATAAGATTGCTATGAAGATCAAATGAGATGATGTACATAAGGCAAATTGCAAACCTTAAAGTATTATATAAATGTCATTTACTTTTTTTTAACAAATGGAGCACCAAATAAATCAAAGTATAGTCTCAAGGTAGTCTACAAGCATTCAAAGATGCTCCACAGATTGGTGTCTTGTGTCAATGATGCTTATAGCATAAAATCTGTATTTTTGTTACTGACGTAAATTAATACTGTTCTTATACCAGTTAATTTTTTTAAAAAAATTGTATAACTCCCTAAGAAAAGTTAGTGGCTACTTGAGTTAGATGCTAACATACAAAGAGAATCACTCCACATTCTTTTCATCACTGATTTTTCTTAGGTGTCTAGACCAGTTTTAAATCAACTATTCAATTACCATTGAAAAGTACAGGATCTAATAATAATAACAATGATAACAATAATGGTAATAATGATAAAAGCCAGCATTTATATAAAAGCTTTAAGTTTCATAAAGTTTCAAAAAGTATCTCATTTTATCCTCACAACAACCTTGAGAAGAAGTCTCTACTATTAACGCCATTTTATGGAAGAGAAAACTTAAGTGACTTACTGGCCCAGAGTCACACAGGAAGTAAGTGTCTGAAGTAAGTTTTAAAATCAAATCTCCCTTATTCCAAGTACTATGTCACCTGATTGCCTCAAAAGATTGCCTACCAAATGCACTCCATAACCTAGGCAATAGTCATCATTCTGTTTTGTTTTCCAACTTTGTTTTTTCTCTCTGAATTATCAAATCTTTGGAGTTGCTATGGATCTCATCTAGGATATCCTATAGTAAGTATCGTGTGTCGTGACACAATCAATGCAATTTCAGTCAAAAATAGGAGCATATGGAAGACATCATCATCTCTTATTTAAAAGCTGTTCAAAATGTCCTTCCAGATAGTGATTATTACTTTTGGTGACCATGTTGCTCACAATTTTATACCCCACTTGATACTAACAGAGAATTATTGGACAAAGCTCTCCTTTGTTTACATCTCTCAAAGAACCAGCCAATTTTAACACATACATAGGATACATGTTCTAGGAAGGGAAAATTTAGGATGCTTTTTGTTCTACTAAATCAAATAAATACTAAAGTCCTTCCAACCCCAAATCTTTGATTCTACAATCAGATCCTCTATTCTATTCATCTTTTAGTCAATTGTGTTATTATGAAGATGTGGTCTGCAATAGAAACTGATTGATAAAATCTTGCTTATTCCTTTCATATATACACACATATACATACATAGACACGTATGTATACTTACATGTATGTGCTTATGTGTATATATACATTATATATGTATATATGTGTGTATATATGTGTGTGTATATATAATATATATATATATATATGAAATCAGAGATAACCAAGATACCAGGAACAAGTAGTCTAAAGTATTTTATGGTAATGAGAAAGTAGGCACATGGATCAATCATTAATGATATCTACTTGGTTATCATTTTGGAAGTAACAGTATTGTCCATACTTTTTTTTTTCCATTCTTGTTATCTTCCTTTCTTTATGAAGGTTTAAGTTTGTTTTCAAAACTCTTTGGCTTTCTGTATAGGCTTCTTTTATGCATACTTTGAACTGTCTAATTGTTCTTCCTATCTTTTTCATGCCATTTTCACTTTCTTTTATATTGTACATTGGTTTCCTAAGTGTTAAAGTCTAAATGTGATTATTCTGCTGTCATCAAAAATTATAATAAATCACCATAAGATGCTTGGAAACTTGTTTTATTTTAAATATATTTATTTTCTTCCAGTTTATACTAAAAGTGCTCTTGGGAAGATTCAATTTAATTGTCTCTCATGCTAAATTTTCTTTTCCCTCTCCATAGTTTTTTGCTATTTTGTATTAGTAAGTTTTCACAAATCTTCCATGATGTTCAGCAAATGAGCTTGCACTTTAATTTGGTGCTTTCTCTTGCTTCCATGTGTCTTTCTTTTGTAAGAGGAATAAATGACTGCTGGCTGGGGTGGCTTCTGAGTAATCTTGGCCTATTCATTATGATGCTTTTTTATATTAGTTAACTTCTTCAAAAAAATGGCGATAACCAGAATGACTATCTTATCTTTAATCCATTTCCCATTTTTAATCAGTAGTATATTTACATATGCCAAAATGCAACTGATATAATTTACACAGAAGTTGTTTTTTTTTTCAAATTTAATGCTAGTTTTTACTTCTACTCTAAAATGTTGGTGGTCTAACAGCAAACATACAGCTGATTCAGGAATGACACCTAGATATTTGCAAGTTGTTTCTATCATGTCAACATGAAATTAATCTGACTTTTGTTGTTGATTATATCTTCTGGTACTTATCATGCCCAGTGCCTTCCAACTAAATTTTTTAAAATAAAGTAATCCTGATATACAGGTTTGGGGCTACTCAAAAGCCTTCCACCTTGGGGTCATATTTTTGCTACATATTGTTAGCCATCTTCACCTGATCCCTCCTTTGCACTTAAGCCAACAAATATCAAGGTATAAGTTAATTGGTTTAGAAGATCTTGTTGAGTTTTTCATAGAATTTCATAGAATGTATCTACTTTATTTTCTGTAACATAGGCTGACATATACCACCTTGCTTATAGTCTACATGAGCACTGAGCTTGAGATGATTAAGTGTCCCATGAAATGACTTTTCTTGTTGCCTCTGAGTGCTCAATGAAACCAACTCACCTAACTCCTTTAACTGCAGCTCCAAGGAGGACCTGTGAGTTGTCCTTTAATTTGGTTATAATTTCATTAGGTATTCTGGTTTTATTTATAGCAAGAATATATGTGTATACATATACTGTACATGTGTGTATATATACATTGTATGTGATATGTGTGTATTGTGTACATATGTATATGTGTGTATAGTCAGTCAATAATAAGCATTTACTGATCATTTACTTTGTGCCAAACACTGTACTAAATGCTGGGGATACAAAAAAGGGCAAAAAACAGTCTCTACCCTCAAGGAACTTACAATCAAATAGAGGAGACCAGGCAAATAATTCGGTACACACAAGATATATATATAATAAAGATGGTAGGTAAATGCAGAAGTGAAAGCACTGAGAAAGTTTTCCTACAGAGGGTAGAATATGAGCTAAGTCTTGAAGAAAGTCAAAGAAACTAAGAGATAGAGATAAGTAGGCAGAGCATTTCAGGCATAGGAGATAGTACAAAGGCAAGGAAATGGAGTGTGGTGTGTGAGAAACATTAAGTGTAGCTGGATCATCATGTACAAAGAACAGAATAAAGTATAAGAAGACTGAGAAGGTAGAAAGGGTCCAAGTAGTGAAGAGCTTTAAATGTCAAACTTTATATTTGGTTCTAGAGGTAAAAAGAAACCATTGGAGGTTAGTGAGTAGGTAAGCAACATGCTTTAGCCTGTCCTTTAGAAAAAACACTTTGACAGCTGAGTGGATAATGGACTGGGGAAGTCTTAAGGAGAAAAGATCTGAGTGGGGAACTTGAGGCAAGGAGTGGTGAAAGACTTGAGGTAGGGAAAACAATTGGAAGACTATTACAATAATTCAAATATAGTGAACCAATGTGATATTTGAGTGTCCAGAGAAGAGACATCCATAGAATTTGCCATTAAGGTAGAAATGGCAAGGTTTGGCAAGGTTTTCAATATGTAGGATGAGTAAGAGTGGGTAGTTTAATGTGAAACTGAAGGATGGTGGTGCCCTCAACAATAATAAGAAATTTCATAAGATGGAAGTTATTTGACGAAAGATGAACAAATTCTGTTTTGAATACCTGTAAGTTCAAAATAGTCAGTTGGTAATATAAGAGTATAACTCAAAGGAGAGATTAGGCCTAGATATATAGACCTGGGAATGACATACATGGAGATGACAATTAACTACAGCATGGGATTTGATGAGATCACCAAATAAAATAGTATAAAGCAAAAAGAAAAGAGGACCCAGGAAAAATCAATTCAACTCAACAAGCATTTATTAGGTACAGATTATATGCCAGACACTTGTTAAGCCTTGATTTAAAAAAAAAGAAATGAAAGCAGTCCCTGTGCTCAAGGAGTTTCCATTTTACTTGAGGAAAGAAATGGAAACACTGTTATTGCAATTAAATGTAAAAAATACATCATAAGGAATCAGGAAAGACCTCTTATAGGAGGTGAAAGTAGTGAAGTGTAGAAAGAGGTAGAGGTGAAGAGGGAGAGGAATCCAGGAGGGGATGACAGATTGTACAGGGGACTGGAGGTGGGTTTTCATGGAATAATAGAGTCCATTACAACATTTACCTCAAATATTGATTGTAGACATATTGTGAGGGATTTTAAATGCCCCGAAGAGCAGTTTCTATTTGATTCAAGAGGCAATAGAGAGTAGTTGAAGGTTTTTCAGCAAGAGAATAACATGGTCAAACTTGGACTATTACAATATAAATTCAAGACCTGTGTGGAGGATGGAGTGAAGAAGGCAGAGAATGGATACATAAACACAGTTAGGAGGCCATTATAATAGTCTAAACACGAAGAGATGAAGGTTTTAGGTAGGGTTGTGATTACTTCCTCAATTTCTTAGTCATAATGATAGCAGACATTTTAATAACACTTTAGAATTTACAGAGCACTTTATGTTGTGGTTTGTCTTTTATTCTCAAAGAGGACTATGCCATCAGGAAGATGATAACATTACTTGCAATTGAATTGGATTTGAGTAAAGGAGTGCTGTGCAAAGTCAACAGCCTTAGTTTTCCTCCAGGGCCATCTGGGTCCAGTGGTCAAATATAGATCAAGACTACTGGAGATGGCCCAGGATACAGTGGGAGACCTTGGCCTTCTTAAGCTAAGGTCTTTCTGAGTTTCAGGTAGGTACCCTAGCAATTATTATTCAGAAACTGAAACTCAGAGAGTTTTGTGATTTGCCCACAGTAATACTGCTAGTGTCAGAAGTGGGAAATGAATTTAAGACTTCCTATCTCCAAATCCAGCACTCTAGCCACTACCTAGGGTGATTCTTAGAAAGGAGACACAATCCTCTATATGGACCATATTTAAAGCCTTTTTGGCTTGGTAGAATCAACCAAAACTTGTATTTTTCGGACAAATCCTTCAGGATTGAAGAATCACATCTACATCATGAGGCATTAGAGCAGGACTTTTGTGGAGGTAGATGCCAATTAGTTATAGTAAATATAACTAGGAAAAATATTGCAAAATTGCTATTAAATACCAGCGAATCTATTGAACATGGACAATGTTTGAAAACATACTTAGCCCACATCTCTTTTTGTATCTTTTTCCTAACTAAAAAGGGGAACATTCAATTGTCATTCAACTAGTTCTGATCTACACAGATTTCCATTCAATAAATATTTATTGAACCAGTGAAGGGGAAAAATTACAATGCCTGTGTCTGGTTACTGTGGGTGGCACTTCATTAATTCAGTATTAATTCACATTTGCTGCATTCCTACTATTTTCAAAGTATTTGTCTATGGGGGGAAAAGTCCTAAGAAATATTTTTGAAAGACAAATTAAACAGGATAATTTCATTTTTTGCTGATTTTTAAACTGACCATTCCTGCCTTTAAAGAATTTATATTCAACTAGGAAGAGATGAAAACAAAATTAGTTTTTTGAATCATTCATACATTTTCTGAATTTATCTCAATATTGTACCCACTTTTCTCTATAGGAAAATTCTTCTTTCCATTTCTTAGACTACATAATAGCTCCTCTACGTAAGGCTGTCTGAGTGAGTCTTTCACACCAAGAGGGTGTCAGAGTGTACACAAAGGTCAAATGAGCACAAATATAATGCCCTCTAATTATAAAATAATAACAAAATATTGTAATTGTACTCTATTACTATCATCTAAATTTAGAGATGGTTTAATCTTGAACATCAGCTTTTAAGAAATTCATAGTATTAATGTAGCAATTCTAAATTAAAAATATGTTTTAATTAAAATTACCCCCAAAACCACCAGCACAAAATGTAATGGTGAAAAAAGATAAAATTTAAAAATACTGTAAATACATGTTAAATTTAATACTCATTATGATATTTTGATTATAATTTTGCACTTACCCACTCTGCAATTTTCTATCACATTAAAAGTAATCATATCTTCAAAACATGGGGCATTATCATTGTCATCTTCAACTTTGATCAGAAGTGGGAGTGGCAGATCTGTTGAGTAACCATCTGGTGTTGTTGCATAACCGGTTATCTACAATATAGAAAGGAGCCCCCAGAAATCCGTTAACATAGTATAAGCTATGTATATTGTCAAATATAGTGAATGAGAATTAAGAAAGCAACAATTTCTTTTAATCCTGATATAACACAAAATATATAGAACCCAAAAATTAATACTGTAACCAAGATGTGTCCACATTGTTCTCTTTAGATGACTCCTCTTTTTTCCTCCTTGTCTCTATGTCTTCTGAATTTCATTTATGAGGGCTTTCCATCTCTTCCAAGTTCACTTCTTCTGCAGAATTTTAAGTCAAAAGATCCAGCCTATCCTTTGATGGAGCCCAGGCCTATTCACTGTTCTTCTGACAGAACACTCAACTCCTGACTCCATGCATTTTCACTGGTGGTCCACCCTACCAGAAATTCACTCACTGATCATCTCCATCTCTAATTTTTATACTTTCCTTCAAATCTCACCTAAAATCCCACCTGCTGCAAGAAACGTTTCCCAATGCTTTTTAATGCTAGTGACTTTACTGTGAGATCATCTTGAATTTATCCTGTCTATATCTATATTTTCCACCACCACAATGATCTAATTGTGACCTCCTTAAGGACAAGGAAGGTTTTTACCTTTCTTTGTATCCATAGTACATAAATAAAAGTCATTTGAAATGACATTCAAATCTGTTCTCTAAAATTTAGGTCAGTCTATGTCTGGCTTTCCTCTCTATTACAAATTCTAAAATATAATAAACATATCCCTCCAAGGTTAAAATTTCTATCTCAGTAGCCATAGATTTATTTTTGGGCACAATCAGGTCTAGACTAGTAATTTTCTTTGTGGTTTCATCCATCTTTTGAAGGACGAAATTATTATTATGACAAACTAATAAATTATTAGCTCTTCTTCCTTTGGCAGAGAAAGCAACAGCAGATGTCCAAATAACAGAAGTTCTCCATCATCACTACACCATGTCTCTGTGCCAAGCTTGTGTTGTGTTCCATATATCCATATATATTCACGTATGGTCCTTCTGTCCAAGTAATCTATAGTTTTCCTACAGGACAGTATTTCTGGTTTCTTCTTTCATTGATCTTGATCCCAGTGCCCTACACCACGATTTCTGAATTGTATCACGTGATTATATCTTCCTAATATGCACTACTACTCTGCCACTACTTCCTTTCATCCTTTCGAGTAAGACTTACCATCGTCAAGTTATGGATGACTCATGTCATTAAGTATTTTAATTGAGCTCTCTGGTTCACTTTCTTTTTTATAAATACTTCATGCATTTGTACTTAGATGTCTGAACTATGCATTTTATTACTTAATTACTTTTATTACTTTAGTCGTACTAAGCATCTTCCCTTTTTCTTCCCACATTGTAGCTGCTTTCTAGATATACCTTGGGAGATACATGTAGACAGTTTTCTCCTTCCTTTTTTATTTAAATCTCCTTTGAGTTAATTTTTCAAAAGTCTAGCAAATTATTTTTTTAAATCAACCCTTATTAGGTACACTCTAACCCTGGTCAAACTCATCATTCCTATATTTTAAGTGGCAGTCCAAAATCCAAATGCTATTACCAGCTACCCTGTTCTTAAACAGATATCCATATCTTAAATCTGCTATTCTGTTTTGCCACTTGTCAAAGTCAACCACATTCCACAATGTCACATACATTTACAAGGAAAACAGTCACTAGTATTTTTGCTAGTCCCATGGATCTCTTCTTGCAAGGACACACTAATTAGGGGAGCTTAATAGTTTAAAAGTTTAATAGAATTTAATAACACCAGGCATATGACATTTATTTAGTAGAATTATTTAAAATTATTTAAATTATTTTATATTTTGAGATTATCTTTCCTAGCAGACAAAACATGGTTCTTCAACAACTTTAAATCGTATGCTTATACATGTATACATACATATATAGGTAAATATTCAAACCCAATTCAAATTACTTATGTTTCTCCTGTGCTTTCTGTCACCTTAGATATAAAAATGGGAGAAGCATAGCAAGCAAAGTCTAGCAGGGTAGTATGTGGTTTAGTTCTTTCTTGATGCAGGATGTGACTTTATGATGCTTATGGAATTTTGTGCGTATTTCTCATTCCATCCTTAGAAAAGCCGTGTGATGTTGGTAGATCAGATGTTGTTATTAAAGCATATCTTCTACTCTCTTCTTTTTATATGAAATGATTTAAATATCAAATGCATTAAAAATGCTATGACTATTGCTAGAAACTCATTACTCAAAATGAACAAAAAAGAAATTATTCTGCTTATTTTGTTTTTTGGAAATATTTCTTAGGACTTTTCCCCTATTAGAAAGCAAGTTTTTGAATGTGTTTCAAAATTGATACTGTTGTAGGCTCAAAGTAGTTAATTAGTGTTTAAATAATGATTATGAAACAGGAAAATGCTTGCTCCCCTCTCTTCTCCATCTATAATAATGAAAGAATCTTGATAATACTTTCCTACTAAATATATTTAAAGGAATAAAATAAATATTTGACCTATAGTAAAATATAATATAATAATAAAAATGAAGGTGTTTAAATGTTACTATTTCTAAATCTTAAGTACTAAAGCACTAAAACAGTAAATAATTCAGTATAACCAATTCAGGATTCTACCTGAAAGCTGTCATATGTCTCACGGTCTACAGCACGTGTACAAAAGATATCCCCTGTGTCTCTCTCAATGTAGAATAAATTGAAGGGCTCCTTGTCTACTCCAGGTCCACTTATAGAATAATAGATGGTGTAGTTTTGTGCAGAATCAGACTGGATCTAGAAAGTTTAAAAAACAAGAATGATTATTGCTATTATTATTATGACAAGAGTCATAATACAAAGTTAAATGTCCAAAATGTCTTAGAATTTGGGGCTGTTTCTGACCACTCTCCTTTTTTTGCTGGGTATGTTCTCTCACCCAGTTCCAATTCTTTCCCAACCACTTGTTTATGTGCATAATTAAGACACACTGAATCACAGAAACTTAGAGCTCCAAGAAGATTCCTGTAGACGTGCTCTTGTTCACCTCCCCCACCTTATTTGACATGTCAGGAAACTCATGTCACAGTATTCTGCCCAAGGTAACATATAAAGGGTATAGCCCACATCGAGCCCATTACCCCTGACTCCCAGGCTATTGTTTCTTCCACTACCTCACAGTGCTGTCTAGTTTTTCAAAGTCCAGAATTGCCTGCCACGCACCAAGCTACCTATGTCTTTACTCACTTCTCATATCATTCATTCTTTTGAGTAGGTTTATCTCAACAATTCTAGTCCTTATGCTAAGATGGAAAATCACCAGGCTACCTTACAGTCACTTTAAGATCACCTTACAATCTACTCTGCCACTGCTTCCTAAGCCTTATCATCTCCCAACCTCTACACACTCCATCTATCCATCTAAGTTTCTCTATGCTACTCTGTATTAATCATACTCACCGTTTTGTATAGTGCAGTGATATTCCATTACCTTCATGAATCACAATTTGTTTAGCCATTCCGCAGTTGAGGGTCACCTATTTTGTTTCTAATTCTCTGATGCTAGAAAATGTATCATGAGAAATATTTTGCTATAAATGACCTATTTCTTTTTATTACTGACCTTCTTGGGGTACATGCCGAGCTGTGATATATCTCAGTAGAAGGATATTAATATCATATATATTATATGGTTACATAAAAATTATAATTATAAATTATTGTGTCCTCTGTGTCTTTAAGTTACTCAAATGTGTGACTGTGAAGTTGTGGCACTGCCATCTAACCTACTGGTGCAATTTCAGAACTCTTGTACCTTATCACTCATTCCACCACTGCATGATTAGGGCTTCCAGGCCTTTTCTATTCAACTTACAGGATGAATTTTCTTTAATGTGTTTTCTCCCTTAATTAAAATATAAGCTCCTTGAGAGAAGAGACTGTCTTAATTTTTTTTTAAATTTGTATCCCTCAATTAATAGCACAATGTTTGCTATGTACTAAGTGCTTAATAAATGCTTTTCCGTTCATTCATCAACTCATAGATAATGCCTTTTCCAATTCCTTTTACTATAATACATCCAGATGTATCATATTGTGTAATACAGTTGGAAATAAAGTATGTGGTTTAACATAAGACTCCTTTAGGGTAATATAAAGCTTTAAGTGCCCTTACCTGTTGAATTTGTTGTGGAAATGGACCTAATGAGTTTTCCATTATTGAACATGGAATTGGAGCCCATCTTCTTTTGGTTCTCTTAAGAGTTTTGTCTTTTGCATGTCTTTTCATAGGTATCTGAATATGGTAGGAGGCCAAAAAAGATATCATAGATTATAAACATACAGATTAAAATTTTACAGTTATGAATATAGAGTGGAATTAAGAAAGTCATCATATAGCATAAAGCAAACATGGTATGTTCTTGATTTGAGAAGAGAAAGATACATATTTAGTGACATGCATATATGTACACAAATACAGAGAAGTGTTCAGACCAATACTTTCAACTGCTTTCCCACTTCCTGCTTCTGCACCTTCCCCCCAGTTCCCATGTCCAGCCCCAATCTCACCCTGAGTCACCCCTACTCTTGATGAATCAGAAACTTATCGGTCAGTCATAAGAGAGATTTTGGACAGTCTTAGGAAATCCATAAACCAAATGATTCATTGAGAGAAGATCAAAAATACTACAATTTAAAGTGGTATGATACTAAGCACTAACACACGTGTGTGTGTGTATGTGTGTGTGTGTGTGTGTGTGTGCATACATGTGCAAGGGATCTTAAAAGCTTTAATGGCTTAAAACTACTGTAGGATTTTTGGGATTCCCTGAATGAACATACACACACATATGCCAAAGCTTTTACTATAGGAATGCTTTCCTTTACACACATATGTGTATACACACAAATGTGTTCTGGAAAATGTATAATCTGAATTCTTATAAATTAAATCAGACAATGTGTTGTAGCCAAGAGAGCACAAACTTTAAGTCAGAAGGCCTGGGTTCAAATCTTGGCTCATATATTCACTAATTGTGTGGTCATAGGTAAGTTACATTATTTCTTGGAGCCACAAATTTCCATGTTGGTAAAATAGAGGTAATAATCCTCACCCTCCTAGGAAGCTGAAGAAAGCATTTTGTAAACCTTAAAAGACTGTGTGTATGTATGCGTATGTATATGTGCATGTGTGTACATATAGAATATATATGTATATGTATGAATTATTGTACTTAAAATGAACTAGACCTGCTGCTTAGAAAAACTTGGTTGTAAATCCTTTTCATTTTATGCTGTAGCTATTTAATTACTTTTTTTCATAAATCAAAATGTTCATATTGAACTTGTACCTAAACAACAGCTTGGGTGATGTTTGTTTTAAATAGACAAAGCAATAAACAAAAATACTTCAAGTTTTCATCCATTGTACCTTCTTTTCTGGGGCTAACAGTGCAATCTCTATCTTTTTTTGTTCCTGTTTCTGAGAGTCTGAGAGCAAAATAGCAAAGGTTCTTCCCTCAGAAGACAACCCAATGTTCTTTGTTGTATACACTGAACCATCTTCCAGAATTCTGAAGTCAGGATCACTTGAATGGATGAGGTCAGCCGATTTGAGGCACTCCTCTAGATTAACTGCATGGAAGAAATTTGACAGGGATTTGAAAGATGCAAACAAAAAGAGAACATGTTTTACAGGAATGACAACTGCTTGTTACAGCATGATAAGGATAGGGATGAACCTAACTATATTTGAATTATGATTGACTCTTTTTCCAACTAATTCAATTCCATTCCACAAACATTTATTAAATGCCCACTAGCTGCAAGACACTGTGCTACAAGTCAAGAATACTAAGAAAAAAAAAAGAAGGCTCAGCCAATAAGAAATTTATATTCTACTAGAGGAATATAATAAGTTACACAAGTAAGTAAATACAAAGGTTACACACAGCAATCTCAAGAGTGAGAGAGACAGTGATAATAACTAGGATGATGCCAGCAAAGGTTAAAGAGTCTTATCTTGCATTGATTTTGTGTCATAATTTCATAATAATTGAACCTACTACATTTAATTCACTTTGGTTATATTATTGAAAATATACTGTGAACAAAGATTTAACAATCTTTTTCTTCCAGACACCAGAGTTTTGTTTTGTTTTGACCAATGGAGATGAATGTGAACACAGAAAAAATTGAATTTTACTTCTGACTTTAGAATCAGCTTCTAACTTGCCAGATCACATTCTTCTATCATTGATATTAAGTCATTTGATACTGTCTAAAGATCTATTTATAAAAAATGCTGGATTTAAAAAAAAACAGGATTAGGAGATGCTGGAGCCAATCAAAAAAGCAGTCATTAAGTTCCTCCTACCACAAGCAAGACACTGTGTAAGGTACTGGATTTACAAAGACAAAATTACCTGTGTCCCAATAGAACGCGCAATATTTTTTCCTTTACTTTTTTTTAGGCAATTGGGGTTAAGTGACTTGCCCAAGGTCACACAGCTAGTAAGTGTCAAGTGTTTGGTCTGAGGCCAGACTTGAACTCAGGTCCTCCTGACTCCAGGGCCTGTGCTTTATCTACTGCACCACCTAGGTGCCCCCTTTCCTTTATTTTTTTGACTACACTCATTAACTTGCATGTATCTTCTTTTTCAAGCAAAAATTTCTTTTAGATGTTCATTTGAATTTCAGCCTTTCATATGTAAGACATTCTTCAAATAGTCATAAACTTTATGTTTTCAATAGGATAATTTCCTCCCCATATAAGAAGTAAAAATATAGCTCCACGCCTAAAGACAAAATGCTAAGTCCTCATAAGAGAGTACCAATGTCCACTTTTTTCAAACAGAATTCATATTTGCACAATTTCATTTTTCTTATGACAATATGGGAGTTTATATGTATTCATACCATTTGCCCTTTGGATCTTAAAATCTATATTGTATCTATAGAAATCTACATAAAATCTATATATCATAGACTCATAGATTTAGAGTAGGAAGGAACCTCAGAGGTTTTCTAGTCCAATCTCCTCATTTTACATATAAAGACACTGAGGCCCAGAGAAGTTGAACCTTGCCCAAGATCATCCAAGCTAAGAAATCATAGTCAGGATCTGAACAGCTCAAATCTGTTGACTGCAGATCCAGCTCTCTCTCCACTACAAAACCCAAATGAAGTCAGTCCATTATGTAGCATTATTAAGAGTTTGTTTTAGGTATCTTCTGGTAAGTTTTACAACTATATAGCAACTAGATTGGAAAATCTGGTTGAAAAAATGAGGAAAAGTTGATCAAGCAAAAGTAAATGATATGCATTTCCTTAATAATATGACAAATGCTAACTGTAGTAGCATTAAGAAATCTGCAATGTATTATTTTAAAAAGACTGAAAACTTCTTCATAATAGTCTTCAGTTGAGGTCATTGTATACCACCTAATATGCCACCTAATTATATCTACAGGTAACTAAAATAAAATATTTTTATTATTAAAATAATTAAAATTATATAACAATGTCCTTATTTGGAGGGAAGGCAGGCAAATGTGGACACTACTATAAAAATGCTCAGAAGATTCTTCTTATGTTGAGGTAAGGCCAATTCTCTGGGCAGCAGAGCCAATGCTTATACAAATATTTTTAGAATTCCCTTTACTTATATGGGCTTATGAGGCTTAGACCCTGAGGAGATCCTGAAAAGTATTTAATTTGACCTGCTCATTTCATAGGTGAAGAAACTGAGGACCAGAAATGTTAAATAATTTGCTCAAGGTCTTATAGCTATTAAAACTCAAGATGGAACTAAGACTTTTGGGACACTCTGTATTCAGGGGCAAATTTCTGAATAAAGAGTAAAGATCAATGAGGAACCTAGATGAACTGTCATAGTAGAAAGAGAGCTAGATTTGCAGTCAGAGAACCTAGGTTTAAATGATGAATCTGCTGTTTATTTCTTCCATGAACTTGGATAAACTGTTTAACCTCTCTGCACCTGTTTCCTCATCTATAATTTGAAAGGGTTGGACAAGATGACTTCTAAGGTCCCTTCCCACTATAAAATATATGCTCCTTATGAATATTAGCTACAAAGTGTGAGGTACACCTACCTCATAAACCAGTAGTGATGGTGGTTATTGTTATGGGAAAAATAGCTCACATGCTAGTAGGATAATATGGAGGTAGATTTGGTTTTGTTTCCCCATAAGTAAAATGTATAGTTGTTTGCAGTTTGGAATCTTAGTATTTCCTATCAATATCTAGTGGTTTAGAGAACTATGACTTGGGAGCTTTGGAAGTAGCTTAGCTCCTTGAGGGAAAGCACAATGTTTCATTTCTTCTTTGTATACCTGAAGCCAACCTTAGTGAATTGCATATAGAAAGTATTTTAAAAGATTTGCTGACCTGAATTGAATTGAATTGATATGCAAGAGATTTAGGTTCACTGGTTCTGAAGAAATAAGCTTCAGTTATTTTAAATCTGATGTGTGTTCCCTCATTTCTCTTGAATGAAAAGAAAGAAAGCATATTCTGGGATTTCAGATATCCCTAACCACTACAACAAAATAAGTTGTCTGCTCATCATTATAGGCCCAGTTTTAAATAGGGCAATTGCTACCTGGCTTTCATCCCAGCTCTTAGAAAAGCCTTAAGCAAAATGTAGAAAATTACAACTTTGAAAGTCTTACAACATTTTTTCTCACCTCTGCCTACAAATGTGTCAGCCTGAAGATGAAAGGGGACTTTAAGAGCGACTTTCTTACAAGCATCACAAAAGAAACACAGAACCTACAAAGAAAAAAAAATGCATTAAGGGGAATTACATATCATCCTAGCATTTTGCATGTTACTAGCATGTCATAATAAATGTTAGTTTCTTACTACATTTGAAGTTTGAATCTTTGAGAATGAACCTTGAACGATTCCCTTGAAAGACTTAGAAAAATGACCTTAGAGATTTTGAATTAAAAGGAGGGAGAACATTAGCTTCATGAAACCAAAATTCAACTTTTAATCATTCATACAAATTCATATATTCATATGTAATTTGAAAGTAGAAATAAAATGTGGAAAATCAAAATAATATAAAATTCATAAATTCATATAAATAAAAATACTCATTTCTTAATTCCTTAATTCCTCATCTTTATGGCCAAATAATTTATTAAAATAGTCACATATTTCATTCTAATTTCTAGCATAGCATAAGGACTTAATTTATTTCACTGGAGGTTGTCAAAAAAGGAGTTCTATTCTTGCCCTGACTCCAAACTGAGGAGTGGATAAGCAATCAAAATAATTCAAGAAGTGAAGGGTTATTTTGTTATTTATTTCATACAGTTACTACTAAAAGTCAGCATAAAATTCAGGGGTCTCATATCTTACAACTTATTATATAGTTCTAGTTTGTTTTTTGTTTGTTTGTTTCCCTTGGGGTCTACTCTATATTGATATAAACGTGTGTGTGTGTGCGCACGAGGCAGAGAGAAAAAGAGAGAGAGAGAAAGAGAGAGAGAGGAAGAGTGAGAGAGAGAGAGAGAGAGAGTTAGCTGTTCTGCAAGGATCACTCTGCAATTTGTCAAATAGAAAAGTTCCTAGCAAAGTTGGAATGCCCACAGAATAACATGTCATATTTCTCATAATTCTTCAGTGAAAAGATATTTCTTTAGTCTGAGTCCTTTTATTATGGGATGGATTCCTGTCTATTTTTTTTTTTTACATCAATGACTTTTTCTTTTTGGGCCTAACCTTGGTTCAGAAGAGAGAATAAAACCTCATGAACAGATTAAACCACTTTGAAGTTTTGTGATAACCCTCAAGTGAAGCTGAAACTACCTAAACCAGGAATGAAAGGGGAGAAAAGCCACATTTGGTACTCCTCCCATCATGGATAGCTTTAGACACAGCAAATAGTCTCATCTGTTTGACTGTTTTAAGTCTTCTTTCCTCAAGTCAATGAATGGTCTAAAATGACTTATTAGGGTTAATTTAGTCCTGTGATTTTAAGAAAACATTCTAATAAATAATGGTTTAAATACTATTGTGTGTACATAGTAATGTCATTCTGATCTTGATTCTTAGGTGCCGTGTGTGGGGGAGATAATCTATATAAATAATTTATTTAGAAAATCAGCTAAGTCCTATTCATTTTATATATCCATATGTGTGCAATGTGTATTGCATTAACTCCCACTCTCTTACTCCTTTCTTTCTGCCCAGACACACCTATAGAACATTACAGATAGAACCAGTGTGCACTATTGATGCCTACAAGTTTAAGCAGGGGCCAAGAAATGTACAGGGAGGGAACAGGTGTCAGGAAGTGAAACAGGTGTGTCATAGATAAGGCTCCTTGCATCCCTATAGGGTATTGGTGATAGTGGAGTGGGAAATAAAAGGGATATGGAAAGCAAATAAAGAGAAAACAGTGTAGAGTTCCTAGAAAAGAATTCTCCAACACTCGTCCTTGTTCCTGACATCACCCAAGTGGTCGTATTCCTCTTAAGAGATCACTTTTAGGCTATCCTTCGAGCCAGAGTGGATCAAGAGAACCATCAATAAGGGTAAAATGAATGTATTTGTAAGGAGACCTTTGGCTAGCACATCCATCCTCCATGCCTTATGCTTCTTTGGTGGATTAGTGAAGCCCAGCCCCATAAAAATATATTTTAGGTCTGGTTGACGTAACAGCCTGGAATAGAGGAGGGAATTCACTATAATGGGAGAGAGATGTAGCACCTTTAAAGAAAAACAGATACATATACAGGCCCAGTCACTAACGACTTGGTAAAGCAGGGTCAATTTGGCAAGATCCTCCCCCACATCCCTCCCAACTTTCCCATCTTCCACTTTTCTTTTTCTTTTCTTTTCTTTTCTTTTCTTTTTTTTTTTTTTTTACACAAACCTCTCATGAGAAATCCCTAGATTGGACCTAGAGCAGTGGCTCTCTTCCTGAATTTTCACCTTCCTTTTTCTAGGTGAGGTGTTCTTAACTTGGAATTTGTAAACTTTAAAAAATATATACTCATAACTTTTTGATAATAAATATAAGTGGTTTCCTTTGTAATCCTAAGTATTTTATGCGTTTAAAAACATTATTCTAAGAAGGGTCCCACAGGCTTCACCAGACTGCCGAAGTCCATGATACAAAGAAGGTTAAGGACCCCCGTCCTTAGTAGGGGAGTCTCAGCTGCCCTTCTCTGCACTTTCCAGGGCTGCTGACTTACTGAACGCACGCATTCTGTCCCCATGATTCCTTAGGTGATCAGCAGCCAAAGCAGCTTCTCCCAACCCCAATCCCCTTCTTTCCAAATAGCTCTACACTTTGACACCAGCTCATGCTATTTGGTCGCGTGCCTGAGCAAGGATTGTATTGCACTCACTTTTCTCCGGAGAAAAAAAACTCTGCTCCTAGGGGAGCAGGGAATTCCCCTGGAGCGGGATGTCTCGGAAGCTGTTTAGTTGGGCGTCCCGCCTCCCTCCTTTCACCTTTGTCAGGGCTCAGAGGAAGCGAGCTCCCTACACTAATCCCCGCAGTCCATCATTCTCCTCCTCCTGCCTTCACACCCTCCGGGGCCAGCAGGACGAAGGCAGGAAGAGGCTGCTAACACGCTTGAGTATCGTCGCTAATGCCTCGACTCTTACTCACCAGGAGATAGAAGAAGAGATGCCTACAGAGGCTGCTCCTCAGGGCGCCGCCAGGAGTTGGTGCCATCAGAAGCGTTCTCAATGGTCAGGGAAGGCAGCGGCAAGATGAATCAGGGCAAGCAGGTCCCCAACTGCAGGCCCCTGGCTGGAGGAATATGCTGCCTCCTCTGCACCAGTGGAGAGTCGGGAGAGAAGTGAGGAAGGACAGAAGGAGGAGGAGCAGGAGGATGACTTTTCTTTTCTCTCCCTCTCTTTCTTTCCCCTCTCAATTCTGTCTAGCCCCTCTTGCCAAGGGGTTTTCCCTCAAATGTAGAGGGTGAGGTACCAAATCACCCCAAAACCAGCCAGTGCTCCTTCTTGAAGCACCTTTCAAAACTTCTGTTACTTGCCACATAGGCAGGAGGAGAAGGGAACACCCTTGGTCCTCAGCTCTCTCTTTCTCCTCCTCCCTACCCCCCAGATTGATGGTATGAAGTCCCTTGCCAGTTATTACCCATTCCTTCTCCCACCCCTTCTCCTCCTCCTTGGCCTTATTAACCTGCTCTGCCCCAGGCAAAGAGACATGGATCATGCAGGGAAGTCAAGTTGGAATCATTCTTTCTTACTCCCTTCCCCCACTTCCCATTGCCATTGGCAAATCAAGGGACATAAACAGATATGCAATCACCTTCTCATCAGTCTGTTATCTCTTCATCTAAAGCATTTAGGTGTTGCCTTGTCACATATAGCATTGTTGTTCTGGAAGAAATGAAGTCTTCTAGTCTGAAGCAGTTTAGCTCTGTCTATTCTTCAGTATTCTTCCCTTCCATTTAGGATGCCCACAGGACCTTAGCCTAAAGGCCTGAGAGAATCTAAGAAGCCATTATTAAATCTGTAGTCTGTGTCAAGAATGGTCAGGTAGAAACTGGGAGTGTCCCTTCTTTTCTTCAATTTTTTTTATTGTTATTGCAAATATATAAATTATTTTTCTTGAACATTGTTTGATAGAGTTTCTTATACAAGGCCAAAAAACTTTAAAAGCACTCCATCCACTTTAGTTGCTTTCTAATCACAGAATTTTAGCCATGAAAGAAACCTAAGCAATTTGGTCAAACCACTTCATTATAAGGAAATGAAGGCCTAGAAAGGTTAACCAATATAGATAGTCATGGTTATACAACAATTCTCAGCCCAGAACCCAAGTGTTCTGATGCTTGATCCAGTCCTCTCTTCCATTACAGCACTCAGGAACCTGTTAATGTGAAGTAAAACAAAAGATTTCACTAAGTAGAATATCTGAAACAGACCAGTGATGCAAAAGTTTGACATCTTGACATGAAACATTTGTCTAAGCTCAGTGATATCTATTCCTCATCTCAGAAACAGAAAGCTGATATCATTTCAAATGATCAAATTGAAGGAATCATTTCAAATTGTCAAATGCTTTTCCCCCAGAGAAATCAGCAATGATTTATTGCATAGATGTTGTGAGGCATAAGAAGAAGAATATACCATGTACCCTGTCTTCAAGAATGTTATGATCTAGTTGGGAAAACACCATAAATAAGAGATACCTCATTTATACTACCTATAGAAACTTGAATGGATCTGTGATTTTATCACTTGGGGGAACTTCTTCACCAGTGCATATCATAGCCTCTCTGCTTCATCCTTTTTGGTCCCCCACCCCTTTTTATTATGAATTTAATGAAAGCACACAGAAAATTCTACAAGTACAAAACAGAACAAGGGGAAAAGACTATGTATGGAACCACAAATCTCTTTTATGTCTGGCTTGCTAAATCTAAAAAGTTTTAGACTGTTTTCTAGTTTTCTCAGAAGGCTTTTGTCTCTAATCTTTTTTTGGGGGGGGGGCAGAGGTTTTTTTTAGGTATTCCAGTGATTCTTAGATAATCTCTTGACTTATTTTCCAAAACAATTGGTTTTGATGGAAGATAACTTATTTATATTTTCTGATATATTTTCAGTTTTCTTCACTTTTCTTTTAGCATCTATTAATTGATTTCTATTCCAATCTAATTTTTGTAGTCTGTTACTTGAGGATTTTCTGCTTTCTATATTAAGCTGTTTAATTTTCTTTTAATTATGTCCTTTAGAATTCTCCCTTATTTTCTTCCCCATTCTTTCTTTTAGAGCTCTTATTTCATTTATACAATCATGTCTAGTAAAGTTTATAGCAAATGTGATTTTTTTGAGACTTTACATGCAAATGATGTGTTTTTTTCTTTTCTGCTAGCTTTGTGTCTTGATCATCCCTGGATCTATAATATTTCTTTATCACCAGTGTTTTATCCATTTTTCCAACCTTACTTCCTAAATTGGGACTTTGTGCCAGGGCTGGGCTCTGCCTCCTCCCACATACTGTCTATGTTTATATATATATAGGCAGGAAATGGTCACTACTATCCCACTATAATTCCACATTTTGAGTGTTGGGTTTGGAGGATATTCAAGCAATTAGGGGGGAAAATAAGCTTAGGTTAAAATCATAAGTCAGGAAGCAACAAATTATATAACCCTGTATTTATCACTGAAACTTGGTAGGGTAGGACTCATGACTGGAAAATGATTATGGAAGGGCATGCTCCATTCAAAAGAACAACATAGATAAAAGGGAAGTATAGAGTAACAAATTATATTAAGAAAATATAATTACATGTAAGAAAATCCAGGAATTTGAGAGGAGAAATTTGGTAAAGAGTATTTGGGTAAAGACAGATAGGAGGAAAAAAGAGGTGGTGTTATATACAACAGAGAGCTTTGACAGAAAGAGAAAGTAGATTAGGAGTTTGTGAAGTATAGCTTACATTTATATCATATTTTGCATATATCATCTCATTTGATCCACATAAGAATCTTGTGACATAGATAACTACAAGTATTATCTTACCTATTTTTACAGAAAATGAAATAGGATCAAAGGACTTACATGGCCCCACAGATAGCAGGTAAATGTTATGGGCAGAATTCTAAACTCAGGTCTTTCTTGACTTTAGATTCAGTGATCTTTCCAGTATATAATGATGCCTCTTAATCACAATCTTACCACAAACCAGTCACAGATCCATGATATAGTAAAGATGGAAGACTTCAGTTATCCGGACATCTGAAAGAGTTTTTTTTTTTCTGCCCAGAGCAGAGGAGCTAAGAAATTCCTGACTAGCCTTTAAGGCAGAGGACATGATGAGAGAGGCTACTATTCTGACCAACTAGGAGGAACTAGATCCTGAAGTATAATAAAGGAGACATTAGAGCTCATAAAAGATCAGGAGAGGAAAATCCAGCAAGATTTGAAACATTCCCTAGATTCAGAGAGATCAGATTCAGAAGGTCCATTGAAAGAATCCTATTATTTCATTACCAAAGTTCATATAGGAGAAGTCTACCTAAGAGGAACAGAATGCTCACAAAAATTAAATTCAAATAATTTAAGTACAAATAATTCTAATAAAGAAAATAAAGGGAGCTAACTAGATAACAATGCAGATAAACAGTGAACTGATCAACTGTCTTACATTTAAAATGTCACGTACAAAATATGAAAGCAAGGGCACATGATAAAGGATGGATATGTGTGGTATGATCATATAAGCATAACATTGGGAATATAAAGTTAAAAGCACTGTGGTAGGGATGTTAAGAATAACAAAAGGGATTTGAAAGTTGTTGTTTTTTTAAGTTGTCTTGGAAAAATTAGGAAAGTTAAAGACCTGCTGTTTGAGATGGAACAATTATAATAAATGAGAAAGAGAGGACAGAACTACCAAATTCTTATTTTGTTTCTGATTTCAATGTCAGAGAATGCTTACTAGACTAGAAAGTATAGAACAAAGTTGGCTAACAGGGAGTTGAAACCCAAGTAACTCTTAAGCTAGAGGACCTCTTTCTGTATGTTTTCTTAATGGTAATTTTTATCTATTTTTTTGTTTTCAACATTTACTTTCACGAGATTTTGAGTTACAAATTGTCACCCCATCTTGCCCCTCCCCCCACCCCAAGATGGCATGCATTCTGAATACCCCTTCCCCTAGTATGCCTTCTCTTCTATCTCTCTCCCCCTTCTCTTATCCCCTTCCCCTTCAATTTTCCTGTAGGGCAGGATGGGTTTCTATATCCCATTTCCTGTATTTCTTATTTCCCAGTTGCATGTGAAAACATTTTTTTTAAACATGTGTTTTTAAAACTTTGGGTTCCAAATTTTCTCCCTTCCTCCCTCCCCATCCACCTTCATTGATAAGGCAAGCAACTCAATATAGGTTATATATGTGCAGTTATGCAAAACACTTCCATACTAGATATGTTGTAAAAAACTAACTTTATTTCCCTTAATCCAATTCCGCCCCCCATTTATTCTATTCTTTCTTTTGACCCTGTCCCTCCTTAGAAGTATTTGCTTCTGATTACCCCTTTTCCCAATCTGCCCTCCTCACTATCATTCCCCCACTCTCTTGTCCCCTTCCCCCCCCCATTTTCCTGTAGGGTAAGACAAATTTCTATACCTAATTGAGTGTGTATGTTATTTCCTCCTTAGGCAAAATCCAATGAGAATAATATTCACTCATTCCTTCTCACCTTCCCTCATTTCCCCTCCTCTGTAAGAGCCTTTTCTTTTCTGTTTTTTTTTTGTGAGATAATTTACCCCATTCTACCTCTCCCTTTCTCCTTCTCCTAGTATAATCCTCTCTTACCCCTTAATTTTATTCTCCAAATATGACCCCTTCATTTTCAACTCACCCTGTGCCCTCTATCTATCTATCTATCTATATCTATATATATGTACGTATAATTTTTTCCCCTCCAACTACCTTAATACTGACAAAGGTCTCATGAGTTACAAATATCATCTTTCTATGCAGGAATGTAAACAGTTCAACCTTAATAAGTCTCTTATGATTTTCTCTTTCCTGTTTACCTCTTCATGTTCCATTTGAGTCTTGTATTTAGAAATCAAATTTTCTATTCAGCTCTGGTCTTTTCATCACGAATGCTTGAAAGCCTTCTATTTCACTAAATGACCACTTTTTCCCCTGCAGGATTATACTCAGTTTTGCTGGGTAGGTGATTCTTGGTTGTAATCCTATCTCCTTTGCCCTCCGGAATATTATATTCCATGCTCTGTGGTCCCTTAATGTAGAAGCCGCTAAATCTTGCGTTATTCTGATTGTTTTCCCACAATACTTGAATTATTTCTTTCTGGCTGCTTGTAATATTTTCTCCTTGACCTAGGAACTCTGGAATTTGGCTACAGTATTCCTAGGAGTTTTCCTTTGGGAATCTCTTTCAGGAGGAGGTCGGTGGATTCTTTCAGTTTCTATTTTGCCCTCTGGTTCTAAAATATCAGGACAGTTTTCCTGGATAATTTCTTGAAAGGTGATGTCTAAGCTCTTTTTTTTTGATCATGGCTTTCATATAGTCCAATAATTTTTAAATTCCCTCTTCTGGATCTATTTTCCAGGTCAGCTGTTTTTCCAATGAGATATTTCACATTGTTTTCTAATTTT